AAGCCCAAACTAAATAATTAGTTAAGAAAAAATAAAATTTAAATAATTTAAAATAATTAAAATAAACTTAAAATAAAAACTAATAATCCTATTGATTCCTAAAATAAAAAATATTATAAAAGGAACAAAATTTTTCAATATTTTTTTATTTTATGATTTTTTTGGATATTTTTATGAATAATTTAGAAAAAAAGTGAAAAAAATAATATTTATAAAAAATGATTTAATTAAAATACGAAAATAATAATTAAATAATAATAAAAAACTATTTTTGTTATTTTTTAATGAAAGATAGAAAAATTTAGAGTAAAAATAATAAAGAACAAAAAAAGTGACAAAGGTGAGATTTAATTTTTAAAATAGTTAGAAAAAAAAAGATTTAATTTTAAAAAAGAATTTAGAGGAAAAAAAGATTTAATTTTTAAAAAGAGTTAGAAAAAAAAAGATTTAATTTAAAAAAAAAAAAAAAAAAAAAAAAATAGTTTTAAAAAGGTTAGAAAAAAATATTTAATTTTAAAAAAGTTAGAAAAAAAGATTTAATTTTAAAAAGTTAGAAAAAAAAGATTTAAAGTTAGAAAACAAGATTTAGCTTTAAAAATAGTTAGAAAAAAAGATTTAATTTTAAAAAAGATAGAAAAAGATTTAACTTTAAAGAGTAGTTAGAAAAAGATTTAAAAAAAGTTAGAAAAAAGATTTAATTTTAAAAAGAAGTTAGAAAAAAATATTTAACTTTAAAAAAGTTAGAAGAAAAAAGATTTAGTTTTAAAAAAAAGTTAGAAAAAAAATATTTAACTTTAAAAAAGTTAGAAAAAAAGATTTAGTTTTAAAAAAAGTTAGAAAAAGATTTAATTTTTAAAAAAAAAGTATTAGATTTTTATTTAAAAAAAATATTAGAATTTGATTAAAAAAAAAGTGTTAGAAATTAATTTAAAAAAGGTTATAAAAAATTTACTCTTTAAAGAAAAGAAAAAAAAAAGTTAAATTTTAATCTAAATCCTAAAAGTTAGTAAGAAGAGCTTAAAATGACTTAAATAAATAAACTAAATAGAAAAAAAAAAAAAAGTTAATAAAAAACATTAGTAAAGTTATAAAAAAGGTTAATTAAATTATTATTAGTTAAAAAAACAAGATTTAAAAAAAGGTTAATTTATTAAGTTAATAAGAATTTAAAATAAAAATAAAAAAGAAAGGGTAAAATTTGGGGTATTACACGTAGTTCTTTAAATCCCTCTACTGTTGAAGCTTTGATTTGTACTCAATTGTATCAAACCTCCTAAGGTCATTGGTTTAGAAACGAGTTGGTTGAATTGGAAAAGATTGAGTAAGATATGAATTCTTTGTTTCTATTTTATAATCGATTTGATTTTAGTAATCAATTACATTATTCTTATTAGTTGTTTGTGTTTACATCTATAAAGTTAGCTGGATTAATTTCTATTGATGTCAGCATTACCGTGGCTGAGCTCAATATAATCACGGTGAGGCTTACCCTATGTCAAAAATCACTGATTTAACAAAGATGAATAAGATAAATATGACATAATAAGCAATGAGATAAATGGACAATGAATAAATGAACAACGATATAAGTTGCGACAAAGTAAATGGAATAAAGTAAATAGCAAGAAAGTAAAGAGCGGGAATGTAAAAGTTAGATGTTAGTTGTTAATTGTTATTGATCAGATAATCACTTTCTCGAATCGGGACCAATTTAGCGCTATGTTAAGCAATCATAACACAATCTATGAGGAAGATCATACTATGAGAGGTTGGTCAATAACAATGTTTGTATCAAAACATGCTAGAGGAATGATATGTAGATCATTGTTCTAAAGCCATGCCACACGAAAAGAAAAAGAGAATGATCTTATTTTAATCAAGAATTTCATCAATTAATCAAATGTAAACTATCATCATCTCAAAGTGTAGAGAATGATCCAAATGATCATTCATCAACATGTTTGAAACGATGAAGGTTCAATCAACTTTAAAAACCAACATTCATGATATTTAGACCTCATTGACCAAAAAAGAAAAATAAAAAGAAATAAATCAAGATGAAAATATGAAAAATGAAATCACAAAGGAAAAAAATTATGAGGAAACACATGTAATATGTTAAATTAATATTAAAAATAAAATTTCAAACCGTGAAAAAAAATACAATCCAAAAAAACAAATAAAATAAAAGGAAGAAATCAAAAAATAAAAGAATAAGGATAAGAGGGGCGTAAATTCAGTGTGTGTAAAGAAATGGCTAATGGGTTGAACCCATATTAAACTCGTATGAAAGAAAAAGAACTCAGATCATAATCAAAAGTAAAACGTGTTCTTCCTCTCACCAAACTCTTCTCACGCCCATCTCCCTCTATTTTGTACCTCGCACGGACGACTACCTCAATCTCGTCTCTTCTCCTTTCAATTTCACCCTCTCCTCGTCTTGTTTTTGTTCTCTTTGTTTATTGTTTCGATTTTAGTTTCAACTCATCCTCTTTTGTTTCTCCATTTCAAAAATAGATTTGGAAGGATATGTGTTTGAAGGTTCGTGTGTACATTTTGAAAGTCGAAGGAAGATTTGGAGGAATTTTGTGCAGCATTATTTTGGCTCAGGAGCTTGAAGGAAAGAATGAAGAGTGACTTCTTATTTATAATGAGGTGAGTGGATTGAATTGGTTTATGTCATTTTGCTGCATTTGTTTTTGGAATTGTTGTGTGGTATTTTGTGAATGTCGTTTGCTGCGTATTTCTCATTGTTAAAAGTTTGTGTTCAGGTTGTTGTGCGGTGCATTGCGATTTTGTGTGGGGTCTGTGACGTTTGTGGAAGATTTTTTGGATGGAAAGAAATTGACTTATTGTTTTGCACTCAAACTTGTGGATGTGCGTATGAATCGTGCTGTGGGGTCGGCTTGGTAACATTGAATTGTAAGTAGCTGAAAAAATGGAAATTGCAGCTTTGGTTATTTGGTTGAAGGTGTAGGTTGATGTAGTATGTAGTATCTAGGAACGAGTTTTGGGTTGGGATTGTTGCGTATGTCATGGCTTGAAGTGGTGGTAGGCTCGCTTTATGGATGTGAAAAAGTTTTAATCAGCTGATATGTGTATTTGGCGTGTTGTATAGCTGCTTGTTTTGGTGTATTGTTGCTTGTGATTTATGCACATGCCTTTAGTGGAGGCTTGCATCATCATGTGCAGCGGCTTGACTTGGTTGTATTGGTTGGACGTGTGTTTTTGTGAGAATCAATGAAGGATGCACAATATTGGCTCAAGCTTGAAATTTTGTAGCAGTGTGATGATTTGTAATGTATTTGTGTTGGCTCATTTGGATGGCTTGGAGGTTTTAGTTTTGTTTGGCTTAAAGCATGATGCATTGAAGGTTGGTGGCTCATGATGTTTTGGCTCTTTGGTTGAAAGTGGTCCAACGTGAAACACTATTGTTGTTTCATTTCTTTACTATATTTTTTTTTTTTGCAATTTTTTTTTGTAATATGGACTTATACATGTATGAGCTTTTTGTTGAATAATGTGATTGGGCCTTTGAATGTTGTAATGGACTTTGTGATATCATAACGGGCCTTACATATGTTTTTTATGACATTCTTCATTAGTAGAATTTGACAATTTGGCTTATATTTGAATTTTCCTTTTGTATTTGCTAAAACTCTTGCAAATTAAATTGTCTTTAACAATTCAATTGGATCCAATGCACCTCCCTTCATGTTGGAACCTTTGGCCAAAAAACATGACCATCAAAACTTGAATTTCCATATGAACCAAAAATCTCATTAGCCAATTTTCACCCTTTGTTGAATTCTCACTTAAAATGAATCTAAACCTTGAATCAAAATAAATCTACCTATGAATCAATGAATTAAAATCCTGAACCACCAATGAATCAATCTCTGAATTTTGCCACTTGAATCATGATACCAAACTCTCACATTAAACCTTATTGAGTATGAACACCTTGAAATCAGAGCATTATGATTTGATATGTGAACTTCAATATGCTGCACAAAAAAACCCTAACTGAAAGTGAACCATGAAGCATTATGAAGCTGACATAGCCTTTGTAAATTGATAATGAAGCAAACCACTCAAATTCTCACTGAACTTCAACTATCACTGCCCACATGCTTGGGACAAGAAAAAGAAAAGAGTTGGACAAATTTGGGGTATGACAAGTTCTCATAAATATCTCAAATTTCGTTTATAGATCCTCAAAACATTTCCTTCAAAGAATGATCCTTCTAAAATTTTTCATCCATACTTTTGGTCCCTTCTTCAACTAGGCGACAATTTTTACAACTTAGCGATTTTAGCGACGATTTATTACTTATCGACTAAATTAACGACAATTTTAGCGACGTTTTTAATATTATGGACCAAAAGTGTGGATGAAAAATTTTAGAAAAATTATTTTTTGAAAAAAATATTTTGAGAAATTAAAAACGAAATTTGAAATATTTAGAAGGAATACAAATATATTTATTTAATCTAATTATAAAAAAAATTTAATAATATTTTAAAATATATTTTTGTAGAATCCATTTTTAAAAATATAAAAAAAAATCTATTTTTTAAAGTTGAAAAAACTGAACAGAAACATAATTGAAAAGAACCTTTAAATTTATGAGAAACAAATCTAAGTTTTTAATCATTTCCGATATTTTCCCTCCATATTTTTCATATTTTTTTTATTCAAAATAAAATTTGATAGGAAATTCAAAATTAGAGATATTATTATATCATTATCAAATATAAAGTTTTAAATCTTTTATTACTAAAAATTTAATAATTATTGGGTTAAAAGCTTTTGAATGACGATCCATTTTCACAACACAAGTTACAAAATCAGTGAACCAGAGGAGAAAAAACGCACCAAGTAGAGAGCATTGGCGCGAGTTGTTGTTCTCGCTCACAACCACAAAACCCTAACTCATACGGCTATAATCTCCCCCAAAACTCTCTTCTCTCCTCCAATTCCCCAAATTCAAGCCGGAATGGACAATGAATCTGAACCCGTACTGCGTTTTTTCTTCAACTACTTTCATTTTCATTGTGAATTTTTTGATTTCTCTCCGTATGATTAATGTAAACTCAATTTCACTTTATTTTGTAGGTCTTTGAAGATGCAATTCCGCCACAGAAAACTGGTGATTTTCCCCTCTTTTATTTGCTTGCTTTTGTTTTGTCAATTTGGTTTTAGCTTTTTGATCTTTTGCCGAAGTGTTTTACTTTATGTACTTTTAATTTAAAATTAAACTAAATTTTATACAGGCAACAAGAGGGAGTATGAAGATGATGATCAGAAGGAAGTTATTACAAAGAAGAAGAAGACAGACGAGGTTTTTGAAATCCTAGAGGATAAGGATGAAAGTAATTCAGATTGTTATGAACATGACAAGGTTTTTTTTACTTGAGTATTTAGCTTCTCAATTTATGCATTAAAAAGGTTTGATATCATACCAATATTTGTATAGTGATATGTTTTTTAATTTTTTAGATTTTTCTTTCTTACTATTGTTTTATTGATTCTTGTTATGGTTTATTTTTTTTCTTGTGTTCAGAAACTTAAAGCTAAAATCGAATCTGATACCGGTCATGGATATTTGAAATCATTCGATGATGGTGTCTCAGATCCTAACTTGAACGAAGACAATGTAAATACTGATTTATTGACTAATGTTAGTGGTTGATTCTATTGCTATAATATATGTATTGAGAAGCATACATTGTTTCTTGAAAAATCAATGATTTTCTCTGTTCATGTATAGTTCAGTTAGAAGGAAATATTAGGGCACTCTGTGCTACTTGAAACAATCCGACTTCAGCGAGACTCATTCGTTTGTAGGTCGGGCATTTTGGGGGGGGGGGGGGGGGGTTGAATATGATGATAGACAGTGTGTTTTGATGTATTGAGTTGCTACATGTAAACTGGAAATTACAAACCGAACAATTATATGCTGAGGGTTGGCAAAGTTAGTGTTTTGTCTTTGTTATTTGTCGTAAGGGTGTGATGCCTTTGAATTTAGGGATGAAAAGGCGCAAAAGAGAAAGATGGAAGTTGTAGGTGTAAATTTTTGTTATTTGTTCTTATCTTTTATTTACTTTTCAATCTTAGTTTTTCTTTTGAAGATCAATGCTGCATCTGCTGAAAAACATGATTTAAAAACCATTAGAAAATGGATATTTCTAGTGGTATTGATAGTTTTAATGATGTTGAAAAGGGCCACATGGTTTAAAAAGTTAGTATCTTGTACAATGAGGATGTGCATATAGTTGTTTTTAGCAGAATGTTTACTATTTTGGCACTTTTGTTTTAATTGCTACTTGTAAACTGGAAATTACAAACCGAACAATTATATGCTGAGGGTTGGCAAAGTTAGTGTTTTGTCTTTGTTATTTGTCGTAAGGGTGTGATGCCTTTGAATTTAGGGATGAAAAGGCGCAAAAGAGAAAGATGGAAGTTGTAGGTGTAAATTTTTGTTATTTGTTCTTATCTTTTATTTACTTTTCAATCTTAGTTTTTCTTTTGAAGATCAATGCTGCATCTGCTGAAAAACATGATTTAAAAACCATTAGAAAATGGATATTTCTAGTGGTATTGATAGTTTTAATGATGTTGAAAAGGGCCACATGGTTTAAAAAGTTAGTATCTTGTACAATGAGGATGTGCATATAGTTGTTTTTAGCAGAATGTTTACTATTTTGGCACTTTTGTTTTAATTGCAGCCCAAAGATTTGGAGAGTCCTGAGGGCAACGAGGAAGAAGTAGAGGGAAAAGTCTCTAAAACACCTCAGGAAAGGGTACACATTCTATAATACAATTTCCCTTTGTTATGCTTATATAGGAATAGCAGACATGAAAGAAGTTAAGGATGTATAAAATGTTTGATGCTGCCTCCATTGAAACACGAGTCTTAATTGACTGATTTATTTTCTTCCTGCAATGTAAATCATCAAATCAGTTATGTGATGTTATTTCCTGCATTTTTTGCAGCATGGAATTCCAGTCACTCTAAACAAAAAATATGCTGCATTGAAAACAATATGTGTTAGAAACTTGTCATATAGTGTGGAACGGGCTGATATGTATGTATTATTTTTCGCACATCTTGCTGCCGATTATTTGCTGGATTATTTTTCTAATTTCAAGATTATTCAGGGAAGATATTTTCAAAGATTGTGGTGAAGTTGTTGATATCCAATTCATAACAGATTGCGAAGGGAGGTTTAAAGGTTTTGGATATGTCAAATTTGGAACAGTAGAAGCAGTAGAAAAAGTAAGTTTGTGCCCATATGTAGTCTGTAAATCATTTTACAGAAGTAATATAATTCAAAGATAGTTTTACCTTTGGAAGCAACAATGTCATGATCTTATTAGAACACATTGTTGGACATCTTGTAAATATTACTCTTGTTTATACTATTACTAAGTAATGCAATGTTATGTATTTTAATTTTGATTTTAATATTATGGTACCATAGATGACTCGTCAAATTAGCAAATGTTGTCATATAACTTCATGTTAACATTTTTGTATGCTATCCTCTATATTTGTCCATAATGCACTAACCACCGAGTGTTCTCTTAGTGGATGCTGTTGGCTATATGCATCATCCAACCCCATGTCTTTGCGTAGCATTTAGTTTTTTGGGGGTTTTGACATTGATATGTCTGGGTTTTCTTTTATGCTCTGACATGTTGCTTGTGTTGATATAGCGCTTGCATCATCTATAGGTGTGTTTGTTGTAGCAGTGCTCTACCCAAAAGACATATTGAGTTGAGAATCATTTTTTTTTGTTTTTTCTTTTCTTTCTATCATAGGCCCTCAAATTGCATGATACAGAATTATTGAATCGCAACATAAAAGTTGAAATAGCTTGGGAAAAGAGTGAATGTCCCCCCTATATAAGGTAATTTTTGTATATGGTGTGTTTGATTATGCTTTAAGTAAAACAATGATTTTATAATGATATAGTTGTTTAAGCACTAGAAACTCCTTTTAAGATTATGTTTTTATTTTTTTTAACCAACAAGTTTAGTTAATTGCCATAAAATTTTGGAACATGTTTTTTCTTTTTAAAATTTTGGAACAAGTTTAGTTAATTACAAATGTATGGCAAAACTCCCTACAATAGGCCTGTGCGGTCCGATCCTTCCTTCGATATATTGCGTTCAGTTTGAAATTAAAATGGCAATTTTCAAAGCAGAAACAAACAAGCCCCAATTATGTTTTATGATTCGTTTTGAATAACTTGCCTTATGCAACATCTTCCGATTTCCTCATTAATAATTTTATCAACTTGAACAGTTCATTTCATACGGGTGGAAATCTTCATTCTCACACTGTAAAGGGTTTTGACGCATCTCTGGTAGAAAACAAGGTGATTTTTTCTCAATCATATTGATTTGTTGCATATATTCCTGCACAAGATTCATTGACATCTCATTATTTCATATTTTCATGGTTAATTAGTGTTTTTGTCGGTAAAAATTGCATTTGCATGAAGATGTTTGATGTTGCTTCACGAGAGTAGTAAATGACCAATATCCGATCTTCATGCAACTTCAATTTGCTAATCAGTTGTTAGTTGTTTTCTGGAATTTTGCAGCCTAAAAGCCCAATTACACCAAATGAAACAAAGGGTACATCAAAGACAGTATATGTCGGAAACTTGTCATACACCGTAGAACGAGCTGATATGTATGTTTTTTTTTTTTTTTTAAATCTTTTTATGCTGGTGCTAATGAATTATTTTCTTTTTCATTATTTTCATTTAACTACTGTTCAGAGAAAAACTTTTCAAAGATTATGGGGAAATCGTTGATGTACGTCTCCATACAGACCACCAAGGGAAGTTTAGAGGCCATGCACATGTTCAGTTTGCTACAGAAGCAGCAGCACAAAAGGTAAGACTTGTGACCGTGCAATTGATCTTAGAACTGCCAAAAAGCAATAATAGCATATACTTGGGCTAAATTTTAGCAGTCTGATTTTATTATAACACTTCTTTTCTTTCCTAGAATTTTTGATGGAATTTATTAATTTCATTTGGTTGCATTTCTGACCTTAAGTCCATGATACCATATGCCGTAATATTGTCCGCTCTGGGTCTTGTGTAAAGCCATCACAGTTTTGTCCTTTGACAAAATTCCTATGTCTTTTATATTACTTGACGCTGATCATTTAAATTATCTAGAATTTTTATTTTCTTGTAGGGTCAGGTTTTGTCTTATAGTATCTCCCAAGACTAGTTTCCCCATTACTTAGGTATCATCATGATTTTATCAATTTGTCTATTTATTTAGGATTAGGATTTAGGAATCTTGTATCCCTATAACTATGAAGATTTGTGTTATTGATAAGCCATTTAAACAAATAGGACAAAGGAATGATGATGCACGTGGACAACAGGAACATCTGGCCATAGAAGAAGTGGAGGAATGTGTGAAATGTTCAAGCATATCAGAATGCGTAATTAGGGGAAGGCAGTAAGGAGAAATTAGGCAATTGGTGAGTAGGGAAATGTGGAACTGGGGTGAGATTTTTCTCAAGTAAGGTTTAAAAATGTCATTCATTAATGTTTGGAAAGTAGAAGGTGCATTGGTTAGCCCAAAGGGCATCACCAAGTATTCATAACGGCCTTCGTGGGTTCGAAAAGCTGTCTTCGGAATGTCACTTCCTTCATCCTAATTTGATGATACCCTGATTTTAAGTCCAGTTTCGAAAATATCGCAGCACCTAATAATTCATCTAACAACTCTTCAATGACTGGAATTGGAAATTTGTTTGGAACTGTGATATTATTTAAAGCCCTATAATCCGTACAAAACCTCCAACTGCCATCCTTTTTCTTAACAAGAATTAAAGGGCTAGCATAAGGACTGACACTTGGCCTAATGAGACCTGCCGCCATCATACCTTCGACAAAACCTTCAATAGCTTTTGATGGTGTGGATACCTATAGGGCCTGATATTAGGTATTTGTGAACCCTCCTTGATCTCAATAGCATAATCACAGTGCCTATGTGGAGGCAATTCAGCTACTTCACATAAATCAACATAATCTTCCAATACCTTCCCAAGACCTGGCACTTCTCCTTTCACCTCTTGGGAATACAAATTTATCATCCCTAATTCTACATAGAAAGCCTCATCACCCTTCTGAAACTCCTTGATCATAGCTTTGAGAGAAGCTACTGTCCTAGACAAGAGGGACAGATGGCAATAGAAGAAGGGGTAAAATAGGAAAAAGGAATGGTGATGCACATGGACAAGAGGGACAGATGGCAATAGAAGAAGTGGAGGAATGTTTGAAATGTTCAGCATATTAGAATGCATAATTAGCGGAAGGCAGTAAGGAGAAATTTAGGCAATTGGTGAGTATGGAAATGTGGGACTGAGGTGAGGTTTTTCTCACATCAATAGGGTGCTCTTGAAAATCATAGCGAGTCTATGTCCATTTCCTCCAAGGAGAATTATCTCCATCCATTGTAATGGTTTCTAATCCACATCAATAATCCATCTACTTATATTTGTCATACCTCATTTATATACTGCTATTTAGTAGTATATCAGTTTAATTTTTTGTTTCAAGTCAATACCAAGTTGCTATCAAGTCTCATAACTTGAACATGGTATCAGAGCCTTACAATGGGAATTTGTGTTTAATTATATGTATATGTATGTGTGTGTAGTTCTTGTATTGCTATGCCAATTGCATCATCTATTCTATACTTCAGCTTGTTAAATTTTTCTTCCACTCAAACTTTTTGACTTAGAATCAATTTGCTTTTCTAATTGTAGGCTCTTGTGTTGAATAGGAAAGAATTTTTTAACCGTCCCATGGTTGTTAATTTAGCTTTGGAAAAGCGTAAATATTCCCCCAATGAAAGGTAATTATTAATGTAGTCTTTTTTACTCATAGTGTGTGTCTATAAGCTTTGAGTGAATATAACACCTTTATGATGAGTTAGCCGTTTAAATTATTATTGTTTTTTGATGAACACTAAAACTTCTTTTTCTCAAGTATTTGTATTTTATTTAGAATCATCTAATTGTAAAATCTTATATGCATATCTTTTATTTTTAAGGATTTTTTTTAAGAATAATCAAGAGAGCCTTTACTATCTTCTACTGATTCATTTTCTCAGAATTTGGGTTGGGCCTAACTCATTCCTACAAAACCGGCGTGTAACGTGAGGATTGCTCCCACTTATAAATACAACACATGCCATATCTCTTAGCAATGTGGGACTAAACCCACCCCTTAAACTGAACACAATTAAGGTGTTGGGGGTTGAATGAAGGCAAGCTAAAGTGCCGCAGTTAAGGCGACTAGGGGCGGACTGTAATTAAGCCGGAAATTCCAACACACTTCCTCCTCATGCTTGGGCCTTAATGAGTCCGAAGCGTGGATGATGCGGGAAGCCCAACAAGTGATCTTAGGATAGACTCTGATACCATCTCAGAATTTGGGTTGGGCCTAACTCATCCCTACAAAACCGGCTTGTAAGGTGAGGATTGCCCCCACTTATAACACAACAAGCCATATATCTTAGCAATGTCAGACTAAATCCACCCCTTAAATCCAACACAATTAAGGTGTTGGGAGCTGCAATGAAGGTTAGTTGAAGTGCCGCAATTAAGGCGACTAGGGGCGGGCCACAATTAAGCGGAAATTCCAACACATTTCAATATCTTCTCTTATGCCAACATCTTCCTATTTCTCTTTCCTTAATAATTTAAGCAGCTGGGCCTGGAGCAGCTCATTCAATAAGGATGAAAGATTTCAGTCTCAAACTTTACCTGCGAAGTGTTTAGATACATCTCTTGCAGAAGGCAAGGTAGTTTTTCTCTCTATAATATTAGTTTATTGCATCAGTTTCTGAACAAGATTGGGCGAATCACTTCTTTATATGGGTTGATTGGTGTTTTTAATCTGTATATATCTACGCCAGTGCTGCTGACGAGTTCACTTCTTTATTGATTATAGTTGAGTTGTGCAAAGGAGATTAAGGATGTAGAGATGTTTGATGCTTCCTCCGCTGAAAATAAGGTTGTAATTGATCAATAATTTTATTTTATTTTTATTTCTTGAATTTTGCAGCCTGAAACCCCAGCTACTACCCAAAGAGAGAAAAATGCTGCATCAAAAACAGTATGTGTTAGAAACTTGTCATTCGATGTGGAACGGGCTGAAATGTATGTATTCATTTTCTTTCTAGTTCTTGTTGATTATTATCGGTTTTATTTTTCTAATTTCAAATGTTTTTAGTGAAAGTATTTTCAAAGATTGTGGAGTAGTTGTTGATGTCCGTCTCCATGTGGATGTCGACTTTGCAACCGGAGAGGCAACAGAAAAGGCAAGCCCTTGACCTTGTGTAGTCTGTACAAATCATTTTAGAACTCCTAATAGCATTCCTCGGTTACTTGTACCTTTGGAAGCTATATTTTTCCAGTTTAGTACGGGTTTAAATTTGACTATGTTGACTTGTAATGTCTTTCTCATTCCTAGTATTTTCTTTAGAATTTATTGATTTTCGATTCTTGAAACAAACTGCTACCCTATATTTAGCTGTAGTTGGGACTTTATTATTATTGATGTAGCTAAAGGCATGGTATCAGAACATGGTTTTGTTCAAGTATATTCCTATCATTGGAATCTAATGTGGATTGGCATCATCGTGTGGTTATATACCATGTTAAAGGGAAAATGCATAAATATTCAAAGAAAAAGGGGATGTTCCCAGTTCTGTAAAAATTGTATTATACCTCAAATAAAAAGGATCCATAATGTATGATTTCCATGGTTTTTTAAAATATTTGTTTGCTTGTGATTTGTAATTATATTGTTTGGTCGTTAGTGGAATGATCAAGTTGTGTTAACTGGTTCAAATATGCAATATGGCTTCTTATCCTGAACCTGATCTCTTTATATGTGCATAAAACAATAGCAACCAAGCGTTTTCTCACTTGGTGCCTATCGCTACATGCACCATTCAACCCCATGATTTTGCATAGTAATTAATTTTAATGTAATGGAGGCTTGACATTTCGTATGTTTAGGTTCTCTTATATAGTTTTTATGAACTCTTGCATGCTCTTTTCTTATAACGTTGAATTCATTTTTTCATGCAAAGTCAAATTAAGCTAATTATCAATTTGCTTTTCTTATCACAGGCTCTTGAGTTGGATTACACTAGATTGATAGCTCCAGGAGAGGGTGAACGTTTCCGGAATAGAAGGTAATTGTTGTCACTTTTTGTTACGAATTATGATGCAATTGGACAAGTTTTGAAAAAAAAAGCTTTTTTAATTGTTGAGATGTTGTAGCATTGTTTGTATACTATCTCCTTTTTTATTTATTCTATTCTGAATCTTAGGGATTGAGTAGGTTAGGCTGCATATGTGATGTGTGTGTGTCTCCTCTCTTTTATGCAAGAAATACACTCTTATTCAATCTTAAGATGGTATCAGAACTTAATTGTGCTAAGCAAGCGGAAATGTATTGGAAAAGACACAGGTCCACATTGAAAAGAGAAAAGGCCTGTAAAGAGACTATAAGGTGTCACCTGCCACTTAGTAAGTCTGTTTTATAATGATGGTTACCATGGAACATTAACCCTTATATTATATCAATTGGATGTCGAGGATGCCTTCTTGCATGGTGACTTAGAGGACAAGAGTTATATGGATTAACCTCATGGTTTTGTTGCCCAGGGGGCATACTCTGGTATGCAAATTGCACAAGTCTTTATGGTATAAAACAATCACTTCAAGTATGTCAGCAGAGTTTAGTTACACTTTGGAGTGTTCTGTTGTGAGTTTGATCCCTCTGTTTTTCCCAAATACTTATCATCTAGTAAATGTTCCTAGTAGTTTATGTTAATGTCAATGTGATAACAATTGATGATTATGAGGGGTGTTCTGTTGTGGGTTTGATCACTCTGTTTTTCTCAAATACTTATCATCTAGTAAATATTCCTAGTTGTTGATGTCAACATGAATCCAGTTGATGATTATGAGGGTATCAAGGCATTGAAACAAACCTTGTTAAAAATTTTCAGGGTAAGAACTTGTGTCCTCTATGTTACTTTCTTGGGGTTGAGGTAGCTCAATTGAAGCCAGTTTTGTTATTTCTCAGAGGGAGTATGCTCTTAATATTTAAGAGGGGACATGTCATATAGATTGTAAACAAGTCGACACCCTATGAATCCTAATGTTAAGCTCTTTCCTGAACAAGGGGAGCCTTATCTTGATCCAGGTATATACTGATGACTACTGTGAAAATTAAATTATCTTATCATGACCAGACCAGACCAGGCATATCTTTTCTAGTCAGCGAAAAAAGTCAGTTCCTTAACTCTCCTTGTTATAGTTATTGGTAGTCATTGGAATGTAATTGTTAGAATTCTTCAGTATATGAAAAAGTCACTTTGTAAGGGTCTTGTTTTAGTGATGGGGGTTGCGCTGATATGTTGGGTATACAGATGCCATTTGGGAAGAAGATGCGAGTGCTAGGAGGTCTACTTGTTGTGGCATAATCATGGTTGGAAATCTGATTAAATGGAAAAGCAAAAAAATAAACTGATATTGCCTGGTTTAGCATAGAAGCCGAGTATCGGGCTATAGATCATGCCGCATGCGAACTTTTATGGTTGAAGCATGTATTGCAAGAACTACACTTTTGTGTGGTTGATCCTATGGAACTCGTATGTTTACACTAGCCAGCCTTGCACCTCCTATACAGTTTTTCAGGAGAGGACAATGCATATAGAGCTGATTGTCGTTTAATTAGAAAGGATTCTCTCGGAAGTCGTTATAATTTTGAAGGACTTACATATGTGACAAGTTGGATGCGTATGTTGTATATTCTCCACCTTGAGGAGTGTTGGGATATAGTACTACTTTTTTTAGATTGCCCTTTTTAATTGATTCTATTCGCTAATAGCGGTAAGCCTCATGTATATGCATTGCGTTTTTTATCTTCTATACAAGAAATATAATATTAGTCAATCTTAAGAACAGTGTTCTGGATTGTGAAAAATAGCAGATTTTTAAAATTCCGCTATGCAATAGTCAATGCTAGTAGTGCCACTATGGCTATTTGATAACATTTTGTATCGAATAGCGTATCGCAGAACAATAGTGGTTTGTTCAAGTTCTGCTACACTATAGATGTATGGCACAGCTATAGCTTCAATTTAACGACATTACTTAAGTATAATAATGTTTGTTTTACTTCTATATATCTTTTTTCACGTGTTACTCTTTACTGTTTTTTATTTTTATTTAATAACTTTTCTTTTAGTGTTGTATTTTTATGCACAATCTTTTTATGTTTTCAATTAAAAAAAAATTTCTGGCACAAGCAAACAAGTAGTTATTTTCTTATGTTGATTCATTTGAATATATTGTCTTATATCTATATATCTTTTCTGTTTTCTTGATAATACTGTAAGCAGCTCGAGCATCCAATTCCAGAAGTGCGAAAGTTTTCAGCCTCTAACTGTATTTGTGAGTGGATTTAATACATCCCTTGCCGAAGAGAAGGTAGTAATTTTCTTTTCTTATTATTTGGTTGCATCTGTCCCTGCAATAGATTTCTTTGATCTCTCGCATTGCATATTTGCATTGTATTGGTCTGTAATTATTACCTACTTTGGCCTTTCAGATAAAAGCTAGCCTGCACAATCATTTCAAATCTTGTGGAGAGATTGCAAGGATCACATTACCAAGAAATCGTGATTTTGGTGCTATTAGGTATGACTATTGTTCTACTGGAAGTTGTGATGCACTATTGAATATTTTAGATATCTGAACTCATACTTCATTTTTTCAACGCCATTTTCTTTTTATCTTCTAACTGGATTGTACTTTCATTTATTTGTGGTTATATTTAACCCAATAGCTGCAACTTGAGCAAAAATGTAATATTTTTATATCAATATTATATATGTAACGGGCACGAGAAAGACTTTTCATGCTTTTAGATGACGAATAATCAACCATGGCTTACTGTAACTAATTTAGATCACTAGTTACACTAAGGATATTATTTACATGTTTGGTAGAGTTAAGAGACTGACTGCATGGAGGGAATCTTTTCTTTTCTTAATGGCATGCCTTGGCTGGATAAATTTACCTATTTCACACAACTATTCTGTTGACTTTTCACACATTAAATTGGCTCAATGCTATGCACAGCAGCATCTATTGTTTGGTCTGGGGTAGGTCACATTTTGGAAGTTATCTAGAGAAATTGTAATAAGGCTATTGCTCTTAAAACTCTCATGTGACCTGGTTATGTTTCTCCCATTGAGCTGGAAAATATACATAAATGTGTTTAAACATGATTGATAAGTTGCTTTAAGGAAATATCTCAAATATAATGTATGCAATAATTAGTGTATGGCATTCCAATCTCAAATTGCAAAGTTTGCAGGTATGCTCATTTGGATTTCAAGGATATTGATGGCTATAAGAAGGCACTCCAACTTAATCAAACTACGATAGGAGGTTATTGGGTGTCGGTTGTAAAAGCAGAGCCAAAGCATAGACGTGATAATCAGGATATAGGTGGTGGCAGATCTGGCTATCACGTCAGTGGAAGGGATGGATCAAATTATAGACGTGATAATCAAGGTATAGGTGGTGGCTATCACGGTGGAAGGGATGGATCGAATTATAGACGTGATAATCAGGGTATAGGTGGTGCAGGTGGTTATCACGTCAGTGGAAGGAATGGAGCAAACTATAGACGTGATAATCAAGGTATGGGTGCTGGCAGAGGTGGCTATCACGCCGGTGGAAGGGGTGGAGGAGACTATGGTGGTAGAGCAAGTTGGGGGAGAAGTTATGGTGTTGAGAGGCACTGGACAGCCAAATCCGAACACTAGTGAAGGCATAGGTATTGATTTTCTACAGTTACTTATTTAGTTTCTTGTCAGATATACTGTACATTTCTAAAATAAGGATTGGTATGGGTTTAATTTTAGCTCATAGGACCTTCTCAATAAAAATACTTATAAGTAGGTGTTTATGAATTACTTAACGAGAGAACTTCTAAAAAAATGTAGAATGAGTTAAGCTAATTTCAACTAATAGAATGAATTACATTGTTTTTATGCAAGTGTTGGTCGAGAAGTTTATCTTATTGACTTTAAATTTAAATCTCTTGTCGATTATAGATTAAAAAAAAATTCATGGCTTCTCTCTCTTTTCATGCTTATTTCAGTGCTTAAACAATATTCATTATTCAAAATTTAATATTAAAACATGTAATATTACTATAAGTATATCATACTCTGTTGGAAAAATCATGATTAGCTATTTTGAATAGTTGTTTACTTGTCCAGGTTGTATCATCTCTGACTATTCAAAATTTTTATTATTTAGGGAGAAATCCAACTTTTGCTGAAGGTGGACTATTGCACAAGTTGCTGAAGTTTTAGGTTTATACTCTCTTCCAAGTACTCTGGCTAATTTGGTTTACTTTTGTGGCTTATTATGGAGCTATCAGCAATAGTGTGGTTTGGTATATATACTTTTGTGGCTTATTGTGGAGCTATCAGCAATTTTGTGTAGAGAGGATTGTCAATTTTATTGCTGATTAACTATATACTAATGTCACTTAAGATGGATCATTAACATGTTACTGTATATAGAGTATGATATAAGAAATTAATGGTGTTGGGGTGTATATAGAGTATGATATAAGAAATTAATGGTGTTGGGGTGTATATAGAGTATGATATAAGAAATTAATGGTGTTGGGGAATTATATCTCGTTACATAATTATAAATTGCATCATGTCATTTATATACCCTCTGTGTGAACTACACCGATTATTAATGGTAAAATTGATTTGTTCAACGGTTGAATTTAAGGGTGTGTTTGGTTCGGGGTAGATGGAGGGGAGGAGAGAGAAAATTTTTAATTAAATATGTTTGGTTCAAATCTAAAGAGGGGAGGGGAGGGGAGCAAAATCTCTCCAAAACATACTTTTTGGTTCCCTCCGAATTGGGGGGATTTGGAGGGGAGGGGGAGGGGGAGGGGGAGGGGGAGGGAAGGGAATATGAGTTTTGATATTTAAAAATTATTATATTTACTAAAATATCTTCAGTTTAATTTCAGTATTTCAAAATTATTTGTTTTCTTTCGTGTTATTACTTTTTCTTGTTATTACTTTTTCTTGTTATTACTTTTTCTCGATTGTTTCCATCAACTTATTATAATGGTTCTTCATCTTTAAATTATTTTATAATTTCTATACTTAATATAAATTATAATCATTGTCTTTTTTTTATTAAAAAAAATTATGTTTAGTTATATTCGTTTTTTTATTTTATTTTATTATGTATTCTATCATATTTTCTTTTGTATCAAATTGTAAACCAGTCATTTTATTTATTTATTTTTATTCATTTTATTAAATATTTTGAACTAATTAATATTTAATAATAAGTTATTTTATATATTTGTTTTGTTATTTGATTCATAACAATTTAAACGATGTTATTAGCGTATAGTTTAATTTATGTTAGAAAGTTATAAGTCAAATCAATTGTACTCAATTTTTTAATTTTATGTGACAAATAAATATGTTTTTAATCACTTGATATTATAAATTTTATTACCAATAAAAATATGCATGAATTTTTCACATTTTAATATCATATGGCTTATATAAGATTATAAGGATAAAAATGTAAATTATTAATAAAACTCTTCGCCTCCCCTTCTAAATCAAACACATTTTTAATTAAAATCTCTCTCTTCCCCTCCCCTCCTCTCTTTTGAACCAAACACTTATTTTATTAAAAAAATCACTCACTTCCCCTCCACTCCCCTTCATTAAAATCCCTCTCCTCCCCCTCATTTGAACCAAACAGACCCTAAGTAGATAAAGTTTAACGCAAAAGAGTAATTATTCTTTCCACCCTACAATATTTGTTGTAGGCTAATTTAGGACAAAAGAGTAATTATTCTTTCCACCCTACAATATTTGTTGTAGGCTAATTTAGGACACAAGTTAAGCTAAGGAATTAAATGTGTAATTGTTTTAAAAGTCAATATTGTACAATTTAATGATTAATTTTCACTTCTGGATTTCTTTACTTGTAACTTTAGGGTCCAATTTAGCAAGATATTTTGTTGTATTTGACAATTTAACTTAAAATCAATCGGATTTTTCTTATAAAACTAGTAGTCTTCATGAATGCGAGTCTATACGAGAATCTGCATATTCGAATCTAACAAATTTATTAATTATCCGAATTCGTTCATTTATGGGTATAGTTAATTCAACTTGTGACAATCCATATAAATTTGGTTTGATTATTGGATTTGAGGTTTGGATGGCATTAAAAATTATTATTATTATTTATTTTAAATAAAAATGAGTCTATATTTGTAAAGATTAGAACACTTAAACTTAATTTTTCATTATGGCCCGTCAAATCTCAAACATTCATCACTCTTTTTTTCAGTCTGTGCTCCCTTGACTCTCACATTTCGTCACTCTTTCAAATTATAGTTTGCACTTCCACTCTCATATAGTTTAAAAATGTATCACTCTTGCACAGACTGTGAGAGAACAAGTTGAATCATAATTTGAAAGGGTGACAAAATGGGTTGTTATTGTTGTTATTACTCTTATTAACTTCATTTTTTATTTCTGTTTTTGTTAGATCTGTAACTGTTGTGTTGTTAGACTTTTTGCTGCTGTTATTGTTGTTGATAGATTTTTTTTACCATTGTTGTTACTACTTTTAGAATTTTTTACCATAGTTTGCAATTTTTTTTAATTGAAATTAAATATAATCATTCCTAGTAGATGATTACAAAGTTTTAAAATGGTCCATTATTATAGAAATAGAATACTAACACTTCACTTCACCATCTTATAGATGATTTTAAAGTAGATAGATAATTCCAATGTTTTAACCATTACATTCCACCAAACCAATGTTAACAAACTCACATCATAAAACACAATTTCAGACTCATAATCAAAAATCCAAAAATCCAAAATTCCAATTAATGCTCATTTAATTAATTCATTTCATGATTACACATTGAATGAAGAAACTCATTAACAACAATCTCAATTAAATTTCAAGTACTTTCATCATTTCTATACACATAATTCAAATGTATACAGAAAGTACTAAGTTGTTTTCATCTTCATCTTCCATTCCAAATCCTACATCAGAGATGCACAATGAACTAACACTCACTATCCTTCCATCCTCCATATTCGCCGTCAGTATTATCCTCATCCTGTGATGATTTCACAGAACAAAATTTATCATTGTGCAATCAAAACTAGCATGCTTTTTATATTTTCCATTTGCTTGCATCACAAGAAACATGACTACTTTCAACCTATTAATATGAAAATGATTTATTTACCTTTCTAGTGAAATTTATACCAACTTCTATCTCGCCGTGATAAGAATTGTCCGCTCGAACGACACTATACTTGTGAGGACGAAGCACAGCCGATCCTTTCTCAGCTCCTTCCGCTAATAAATCTTTTACGTAGATTCTGAATATAGTAAAAAAATATATCCTTTATCAATAATCAGAATAAGAAATGAAAAGTACTAATATATACTATATGATCTTATTCTCATCAGACATGATTTCGGTGTAAAGTCCAAATCATTTTTGTGTTTTCTGTTACCCTTATTCATTGACGCAATGTTGTCAATTAGGATAGCAGAAAATAGCAATTTGTTCAAATTTTATAGCCCTAATCAACATGTTATACAAGTAGAAATTTGTTAGAAATCTGCTATGCAATAGTGCAGTTAAAGTCTTACATGGCCTGGCCGACAAAGTCATCTGCAGTAAAAACATCTTTGTCCATGATTTTAAGGCTGAGCTTGTATTGGTCACCGGATCCAGGGTATTCTACTCTGAATACAAATTTCTCATTCCATTCAAGATTGCTACCTCCCTCTGCATCATTGAATTTGAAACTAGTGAAAAATTTATCTAGGTAATATGAATTCGAAAGAGAGAATGAGGGAAAAGGACTAACCATGAACTACACTGCTCTTTTTCTCTTGACTTTTGTATTGTAACACAACATACGGATCCATGCGCGCTATCAATTATCGGACTCAATCAGAAAAACATACCAGAATTGAATGTAAACGAAAAAATGTTATAAGTCTGAGGAAAATGAATTAAATGTAGCATACCGAAGATATCCGATTCTTGGAGACCCTTTGCTTTGAGAAGATGAACCTCCATGAATCCAATTGTCATATTTTTGTGGTGATAATTTTTCTCAAGGTTGGAGATGAAATGAAATGAATTAGAATCTTGTTTGGTTTGATTTTGTTGAATGAAGAAAAGTTGAATGTGAATAAATATGCATGAGCATTCTATTCTATAATATGATGATTAGGTGGGTAACTAGAAGATACGACAAAGCAACCATAAAAACGAGTGAATATGAAACAAAAAGTGTCTATAACAAAAAACAAAATGTAAAAAAAGAAATTCTTGTTAAGCTGGACACGTTTGTTACAAAGTCGTTGGCGTGTTATTCCGCGTTTTCCATTTTCCTGTTGGTTTCCGAGGATGCCTTGTGCAATAATCACTTTCTATATTTGAGATGCCCGTTTATTACAACTACCTTGGAAGTTGGAACGTGTCTTATCTATTTGTAATGTAGGGGTATGAGTCTATAACCATTTACAGCTTATTTGTGGTTTATATGCTTAATTGATGTATTTATTTAAATAACCTCAGATAATTTATTTTTATATAATAAAAATTATGTGAACTTATTTATTAAAAATAAGCTCATATAATTCATTTTTATATAATAAAAATAGATGGTTGAAATGGAAGAGAATTTCAGGGGCATTATACGAACAAAAATATCGATCAAGTTGATTGGAAAATTTTATCTAATAAAGGTAGGTTTTGATGCTACGAAATAGAATGTTATATGCAGTTAAAAATCAATACAAAAATAAATTAAATATAAAATTATAAATAAAAATATTAGTGTTACCTATAATAAAATAGATGATAAAAAATAAACTAAGGTGATTTAAGTTGAAAGACAATCTTTAGATTATATATTAAAAAGAATAAATTAAACGGACACAAATAGACAATTAGAAAAAATAACTATAAGACTTAAAAACACAGTAATAAAAGTTATTAAAAAAATTCAAAATTAACAATTTGGATAAAGGACATAGTCTTTAGATAAAACAAGCGCTCAATGCAGCTTGCAGCAAACTCCATTCAGTAGGATAATGTTTAGTTGTTTGTATTGGTATTTGTTGTTTTAATAATCTAACTTGAATAACTAATGACTAATAAAAATAAATTCAATTTTTTCTCTTTCCAAAATGTCATCAAACTTGAATAACTAATAAGAAATAAAAATAAATTCAATTTTTTTCTCCAAAATGTCATCAAACTTGTTTTCGTTATCTCTTTATTCATAAACCGGTTAAATTTCTTCATTAACTTTGGTAACATTTGTTTCAAGCAACGTGGTTATATTCTCAAGAAAAGTATTATAACTTAAATAACTTTGATAAATTATGTCTGAACAATAATACTCGAAGATTTTAAATAACTTTTGCCAAACACAGAAATGCCACATTTTTTCAAGCTCATAACAATTAAATATTTAATTTCTGATTTGTATCATTTTCCTGTGAAATGTAGGAGTTGCTAAAATTGTTGAACTTGATGACACCTGAAAAAAGTCATTACAAGTGTTAACCAACTCCATTTTGGTTGCATTGATAGGGCCGTTTTTGGTCCAACAATATTGTTGAAAAAAACTATTGTGTGAAAATATGATGAAATGAAGGTATCAAAAGTACCTAAAACATTCATCACAATCACTTGGAGCAGGGCTGATACATTGCAGCAGTTAAGTTGAAATCATTCTAAGAAAGTTCACAAATGAAAAATAAAGGCACAAATCCTTAAAAAAAAATCATTCTGGTTGAAGTTTTACCACATAAAAGTTCAGAATTCCAAAAAGCCCCACACCAATAAGCTTAAAGATTATACATTCATCCATCACAATACGCAAACTTTTAAGCAGTCTACAGGTTTTTATAAATATCTAGGTAAATTGAAGGAAATGTACATAATTCCAGTAGCACATTGCCAACAAACCTCAAGTGCAACCTGCAAATATAAACCATCAAAACAGATTCAAAACAGAGGAACTGATATCCTAATAAATAAAATCTGAATATCACATTTTACCTCATCTTCCACGTCTAGGTGACAATTCAGCAGATCTTGATCTAGATCCAGGGGGTGATCTTGATGTTCTTTGTCCGGATGACTTCCACTGACCTCGATCAGCCTCAGATTTGTACATAGATTTCCTTTAAACAGAATAAAGTATAAAAATGTAACCCAAGAGAACGGAACCTTGCACTTTCAAGTAAAGAAGCTAAACAGAAAACAAATGGACTCACTCTGCATATCCATTGCTATGATCCTGATCAGCACCATTGTCAAAAGCTGGAGAATACGACCTGTGTTTATGATCCCCATCTCGCTCCACAGGAGGACTTCTGGGAGGGCTTCTAGGTGATCTAGGGCGTTCTACATGCCTTCTAGGGGAAACAGAGTAGTCACCTTGCCGTCTTGGGGGAGGAGAGAAGGACCTGGACCTGGCATATATGTCAATTCAAAACCATGACTTTGTCCTTCAATTAACTATAAAATGAAGTTACTAAAAGAAACTAGCCTTGACCGATAGCGACTTCTAGACCCAGAATGATAAGGAGGTGATCTTGATCGGGAAATTGAGCGAGATCGAGAACGCCCTGAGGATTTGACATGATTATTAACTTTTAGGTCAAAACTCTTTATATGAGCAATCCTTTAAATAATATTAAACATCCAGTGACAAAAAGTTATTAAATTCACATTTAACAAGATGAACGAAAATTGTTTCACTAGCATGTCCTCAAGCAAGGCTACCAAATAGTTAGTAAAGCAGCAATATAAGCCTATGATGAGTCATGAGTCACGGACTTGCAAAAATTTGCTAAAAGAGCATTGTGAAAAATTAGACGTCTCAAAAATACACCTAAACAAATTAAGAGTATTTGCATCCCCGTCACAACAATCAGAAAAACTAGTCTTGCAGTCCTTATTATATATCTAATAAATCAAGTATGGTTCAGTTAGTTAACTAAACCAATTAATTAATTAACTTTTAGAAACATAGAAAGGCTTCGTAAAGGACCAGCAAGCCTAGTTCCTAACAATAAATATCTGGAGTATCAATATTATAATTCTGATAATAATTTCAAGGATAGAGAGTCAGGAAAAGTACAGCAAAAACTATTTTCCACTGATGAAATACATGGATATGGTATTATTATATTATAGAAAACAAATATACCACTGTTTCTATGGATAAATACAAAAAAAAAAAGGCTCAAATGAAACAATTCTATTTTCAACTAAAATAAGCCATGATGGTAAATACTTCTGGAAGAACATGTTTAGCCTAATTATGAGGACAGTACAAGGGTATGGCAGTAAAAAAATTCAGTAAAAATTTCTTGAGCAACAAACAAATCATTATCAAAGTATCAATTCATTCAGATAGAGCCTCCATATCACATACTATCAACCTATTGTCCAATTTACCAGAGCAGTGTTGGTTTTTTTTTTTAATTTTTTGCTAAGCCACAAACACAGAGGGACACAAGTTCAAATGTAGCAGAAGATCAATATATACATTACAAGTGCAGCTGGAACAAATTTCATATCTAGCGCAGAAAAAAATGCTTCAGCACAGTTATAGATAGTATTAGGTGTGCTCAGTATAGATTTCTAGAAGTTATTAAAAATTGAAAAAAGTAATAATACCATGGTAGGAAGACCTTTGCCCCCCATAGCTCCCTGGTCCTCTGTAAAATACAAAATCATGCAAATATATATAAGGGGACTTTTTTTGGCAGATGACATTTAAATGGGACAAAGTATAGCTGAAATACAGTTTCGTAATCTGTTACATAGGGGCAGACAAAGCAGATAAATAAAAAGAAATACCTGGGCCTACCGGTCCTATGCCTCATCTCCTCTGGCCTTTTTCTTGTCTCTGCAGCCACAACTACAGATATTTCCCTTCCAGCAAAAATTTGTCTGTCCATATGGTACTGCGCCTCAGAGGCATCATATGAATCCACAAACTGAACGAATGCAAAGCCTCGAGGTTCTCTGTATGGGAAAAAACAGAGCTTCATTCTAACACTTCAAGAAAAATATTGGCAGAGACAAACTGTAGAAATGCTGATTAGGCAGACTTTGCATACCACAGCAACCACCTCAAATCACATTACATAGTATATCTTTCTTTAGACAAACTATTAAGGGGTCTTTGAGACATGTACACAGATGTGGACGATGAATTACTAAACCCTCTAAAATCCAAAGCTTAGTTGTGAACCGGGCCTTTTCTTTACATTCAAGTAGTAAAGTGGCTTGCAAAATTCTTCAATCATTCTTGTTCTATTAATGAGCACTTGAATTCAAAGCTCCTTACAACCACAAACTAAAAAAAACCTCCTGACAAAGTCTTCAATAGGACAACCAACCAACTTGCATGAAACTCGTATTCATTGAGTTGCGTAATTATATAGATTCTCTATCTTGGTATTAACATACTTGGAAACCAATATGTTAAAGAGGGAGTAGTTCTCTTCAAATGTGGGGCTTGGGCTTGTTTTAACTTCAATTTCAAACCAACATACCCCCTGACAAACCAGTCAAAATTAATTCATAAAGCAAAAATTTAAAATACTTATACACCTAAAAAAAAATTAAGTTACAGTCTTGGTCCCTTATATTTTCAAATTCACAGTTTTGGTCCTTCAAATTCACTTTTCACTTATTTTCACTTATTTGGTCTCCTTGTATATCATCTTTAACAGTTTTAGTCCCTGCACTATCAGACTTTAGTCCTTCAATTTTGAGGATTTTGGGTGTTTTTGGTCCCGAACATGACTATTGAGGGACCAAAAGTTTCAAAAAAAACTCAATACTGAGAGACTAAAAGCAGAACTAAAGAATTGCAGAAACTAAATCTGCAAACAATAATCTGTTTCAGGACCAAATTCGTGAAAAAGGAAGTAGTGAATCAAAACCGCAAATTTAAGAAAATAAGGCGACCAAAACTACATTTTTAAGCCCAGTATTTTATACGAAAATCAGGGCAGATTAGACCACCCCAACCCATCACACTTTGATACCCTGAAACAATAAACAAGTCAATCTACCTCACACCAATCACAAAAAACAGACATAACAACGACAACCACATGCGACAAAACAAAAATGATAATCACAGTGTTGATCACAGAGGTTAGCTCACCCAGAGTAATAATCCTTCGGTATATAGACATCACGAACAGGTCCAAATCGTTCAAAAGGAGCTCGAAGTTCCTCAGCTCTACAGTCCAAAGGAATATTCCTCACTAAAAGGCTTCCATTGTTGCTTTCCCTGCGCCTACCACCACCTCCTCCGCCACCACCGCCACCACCACCGTAACCTCTTCTACTAGGTCCCCTTCCGCCGTATCCTCTCCGTGGAGGACTGTAGTAACCCGGACTGTTCCTCCGCATTTTTTACCCTAACCCTAATATCAACATTAACAAACAAGTATTCCAAATTACCGTAAATTAGAATGGGGTTGACATTGTTTGAAGCTAATGAAAGATTGAAAACATGAAAAAATTGATCGGAATTGAGAAATTTGTTACCTTGATTGAATAGATAGAGAGAGAAAAAAAGTTCCCAAAAAGTTTGTAGAATAGAAAGCGTGAAGAACGTGGTTGTTTCTTCGTCGGAGAGAGATCAAACCTATTTTAAACCCTAGACTAGTTTTCGAGAGCCCAACCCAAACGCACCGTTTTATTAGTACATGAATAAATATTTAAAAACTCATACTAACTTGTGCCTAAGAAAATTTAATGATTACAAAGATAAATTTACAATCTAAACCCATATTTCTCATGTTAAACTAATTTTTAAATATACAATTTTTACAATCTAAACCCATATTTCTCATGTTAAACTAATTTTTAAATATACAAATTATATTTACTTTGTATCAAAAAAATATTTATAATTTTTTAAAATATATTTAAGTTTACCTCTTTAAAACTTTTTAATGACACAAGTTAGTATTTTTCATATTACCTATTTGATCAAGTAATTTATAAAATTGTATTTAATTAGTATTTTAAAAATATATATTTTGGAATTCAATTTTTTAATTTGGATGATTTATTTAATAAATTAAATTTTGAGAAAAAATTTCTTATATTTTAGTAAAGTTTTAGATCAAATGAATACAGACACGATTGATTTTAGTCAACTAAATTTTTATTAAATTATATTAAATTGTTAAGGGTCTGAACTTAATCAAGTCCATATTTATAGCATCATTAATCTAAAAAGATGAAGATTGTGGAAGCATTGTGTGGGAAAGATTATGAGCATAGTCAACTATACATGTCAAAAAGTAGAAGTGAATATGTCAACTTAGATGAAATTTGCTCATATTAAGTACAAAGGCTCACTGCTTCGGATATTTCCTTCTATCATATTTATCAATTTCATCCCAAACCCATTTTTCTCTATTGCTTCGGCTATTTACCTAATCAATTTTAAATTTTCAACAAATATTTCATCATTATAAACTTTAAACTCATTTTCCTCTAATTTTTGTTTTAGCTTCGTTTTCTTTTTCTTTTTCAACTTCTTTTACAAAACTCTTTATTTTGGGGCTAAATTTTGAACATTTAACATTGTTTTTGTGATTGTTTTATTTCGTTTCAGATCTCAAAGTTGAATCGGGTAAAAAGCAATATGTTCATACCCATTTATTTTCATTATTGTTATTGTCATTTTTATTGTTTTCTTTTTCGATTTATATTTCTTTTTCAGATCTGAAAATTTATAAAAAAAAATTGTTGTGTAGGATATGTTCGAGTCTTTCTCTAATAGGATAATTTTGATTTTTCATTGTGTTGGATAACAAATAGTTATGATCTTTTTCTGTTAAAGGTATTATGATAGATATGTCAATTTGCATAGATGATTTTTATGATTTTTTACTATCCATATGATTTTTTATTTTTGAATAGATTTTGATGGATCTGCTGTGTATTTTTTTTTTTCAGATCTAAAAATTTATGATGAAAAAAATATTTTCATGATAGAAGAGTAAAACATGTTTTCTCTTCATTTCAAAACATGCTTATTTTGATTATTTCTATTTTCTCGCAAATCTAAAAAATCTATTTTTTAATTATTAACATTTTTGTTTTTATATATTTATTATTTTTTGCCTAATTTTAAAATAGTGAATGAGGGTGTTGTTGAACTTGAGGTTTCCTTTATAAGAATTAAATATTAAATATAAGGGTATCCAAAACTTGCTACAAATTGATTTGAATAAGATAGAACTATACCTTATTTGTAGCATGTTCATGGCTAATGCAAATACTTTAGAGCTATTAAACGATACAAAATTATTCGTTTGATAAAAAAATAGCAACAAATGATTATTTGTTACCGGTAAAGGTGTTTCATCCTTCTTTTACAAAACTATCGACCTATCAATTTTTTTAAGAGTTATTATAATTTTGGTTTTGAGATTAATTATTCACTATTTATTTATTTGTGGTGGGGATGTAAGTATAAATGGCTGATGATTAAAGAAAAAGTACATTGGAGGTTTTGGGGAGAAGAAAACAAAAAGTAATTATATTCCTAATGATTCTACTATAAACTGATAATTTTTTGTTTTTCTTTTTTGCGAATTTCAATCTTTTTTTTTGTTGTGCCATTTTTCAAGGTAATGTACTTTTTATGTAACACTAAAATTGTTTATAAAATATAATCTCATTTATAGATATATTAATTTTTTTTAACTATGAACAAAATCAGTTTATTTGATGCATTGTGTTAACATGCTATTTGTCTTTTTAACTGCACTAAATTATTATAATAAATTGTAACTTATATACTATATAATATTATTTGTTAAGATGAACATAGAAAACTCATTGGGGTATGCGCAGAGGATTATACGTGTTATGTGTCCACAAGATTCGATAAATTTTCTTTATCTTTCAAACGATTCTAACATTATTAGTTTTGCAAAAAAGATTGAGTATTTTTTTAATGAGCAAGTAAATTTATAACAAGTTTTACAAAAACAATTCAATTTTTTCTTAACGATTATAACTGAACTTATCGGTTGATCAGAATCTGAGGTGGTACAAGACAATCGTTTGTGATGCTGGGTATAAAAGAGGAGGAGGGGGTGTACCTGCAATGCACTCCGATGCTAAAGTAAGAATCGGGCAAGAGAGAGACCAAGTACAAAATATGAGTATATTAGGGTGAATATTGAGTATCTGACCCTCTCAAGTGAGAGGGTTTTTATAGTGCCCGCAACGCTTAGCCATTGGTCCCTATTTTCGGGGTGAGATAACCGTTTCCCGAAGAATATGTAACTGTCAGAACTAGCTGTTGGAACGGGCAGACGTGCCCATAACTAGTCGTTGATACAGGCAGATGCGTAGTTACGAGTACAAGCGTCTTGGTCATTTCTGGATGGTGGAACTGTGCATGACGGGAAAGGACTGCCGAGGAGAAGTGTTGCAACCAAGGGTAAACTGGTCAGCCTCCCCTGTTGGAAGAGCAAAAAGGTAAATTTTCCCTCAAAATGATTGGACTTAGGCAATTCGGTCGTTCTGGGTGCAGAAGTGGATTGAGTCATGCCTAGCCATTCAGCCAGTCCGGAACAGTATCCCCCCAAGTCGTTGTTACCAAGCATAGTAATGATGACTTAAGGACAGTCCATTTTTTGGGCATAGTCGGTGTAAGCTTCCTTGTGTCCGAAGGAATCTGTGCCTAGGCATCTGAAACATTGTTGTTGGGGAGCTTAAGGTCCGGGGAGCCCAACGGTTGATGGGATCTGAATAGTGGGGGTGCCACGTGTGCCTCGAGCCGTGTACTGCATTAAATGTGTGATGATGGCTAGGCTAGGGTCATGATGATGCCCTACCCCGCGTGTGCTCGTGCACGTTCCTGGAGTTTGCCTATAAATAGTGAGAATGTTTGTTCATTCAGAACTTTCGCTTCTCTCCCCTCCTGTTCTTTGTTCCTCATTCTCTGCCGCTCGTCGCCGTCCAGTTTCATTCCGGCCACCGTACAACGTCCAACCAGAGCTACTCAAACCCAAAAGTTCCTTCCATGACCAAGTAAGTATGTCGATTCTTTGCTTCCTATCTATTTTTTCGGTTTTATGTTTTAGAATGCATATGGTTAGGGCTAAAACAGGGTAGTTCTAGGACGTTTATGTGGTGATTGTTGGTGGCAGACGGTGGCGCGTCCATTTTCTCTGTTGTCGGCGCCGTAGTGGTCATTTTTAGGAAAGAGCAATTTAACAAGCCATAGGTTTTTTGTTGATCCCGGAGTAGTGATGACACGACGGTGTTTGTTGCTGGAGGGAACCGTGGATTTAGGTGGTTCCTTCATGAGAATTTTGGGTTTTATGCGCGGGGAGTCTTCTCTGGATGTGTTAGGGAGAACTCCTGGGCACTTCCTCGTTTGTTTAGTTGTGCCATTTGAGTAAGGCTTAGGTCGAGGATATTGTCCTTACCCTTTGCGCGCCCTTTCACTTGACTAGCAGTGGAATGGTGGATTTGATTTTGTCATTGAATTCACTTTTATCCTCTACTTTTTAGGTAAAGGTGATGTCGCATAAGGCTGATGAAGAAGAACACCTTAGAGATTTGTCCGAGGATAGCTCTTAGGAAGATATCGAAACGGATGATGACTCCTCGTCCCCTAAGGCTGAAAGGGTGACTGCTGCGAGGACCTCGGCCGAGGAGTGGACTGTGGTCGAGCCAATGGAGCATGTCTAGCTTTTCGCTTCATACATCGGGGATGCGTTTACCACGGTAGGGCCAAAAGGAGAGTGGAGAGTCCACTTCCCTTCAGAGGATGAATGTATATGCTTGACATACAGGGAGAGATTGCCTATGACGAGTATGTTTTCAAGAGATAGGACTGAGGCTTCCCTTCACATACTTCCAACGGGAAGTCTTTGTACATTTGGACTTGGCGCCCTCCCAACTGCATTCAAATTATATTGCCTTCATTCGGGCATATGAATTGGTGTACGAGTACTTGCAGATCAGGGACACTCTTCCATTCTTCTTCATTGTCTTCCATCTTCAACGGTAGGTGTCAGGGAGAAAGTTCGGTTGGGTTTCTTTGAAGCATGGGAGGAAATTATTCAAACCCTTCTCTAAGTCTATTCGGACCTTCAAAGAGAGATTTTATGTAATCGAGCCTGTGTCAGAGAAAGCTATCGACTCGAACTTCATGTGGGAGGTTTCTACGGACAAAAATGGGGAGGATCTGATAGACGAAAAAGGCAAAATAGTTGCCCGGAGGTTGTTCATGTTCCCTTTCTGTTGGAGTGGGACTCACTTTACCCGTTCGGCTGATGAGTACATCATTACTCCTTATCAGTTGGTTAACGATGATCGGGCCAACTATGCTAAGGTGGTGGCCTTTGTGTATGGTTTCCTCCCCGCCCAGTGCGTGACTCGCGCAGGGCAGGTGCTTTTTGAAGAAGATGGAGGGCTACAGGTGGAAGCCCGGTATATCAATAATAAAGAGCTCCTCGAGTGTAGCACTCGCGAGGAGGCTCTTAAACTCTTGGGTAGCTTCTCGCTTCTTCTTATTTTATCCGAGATGTTTCTCTTTCCGCACGCTGATGTGTTCGTTGTTTTTGTAGGTAATATGTCTTCGGCGCAGGAGATGTTGGTAAAGAATGCCCATGGAAAGATGAAAGGCGGAACGACCCTAGGAAGAAGTCGCCTTGATCAACGAATGGCTCCTTCCCAGACAGGATCAAAGACTTCCTCGTCTACCCCGCTAGCCACTCAGATGTCCCCCCTGCCCATGAGTTCGAGGCTCAAGCGCGCCCGTTCTAATGAAATCGTGGACCTCAACTGGGAGTTCGTCAAAAGCAAGTCCGAGTTGCCTCCCTACCAGCATAATAAGAAGTTCTTCAAGGGGTCCTACTTGTCCATTCCTCGGGCAGAATATCTAAAGCTCGAGGAGATGGATCGTCCCAGCAAGTGGGCCATGCTTGTGCATGATGCCTCTGCCTTGATGAGGATCCTGGAGATGGCTATGGTGTACACCGAGGACGGCTCTCCTCTTGAGCTTGAGCTGAAGAAATCCCAGAATGCGGTAGCGACCCTGGAAGAAAAGGTTAAGAAACTTCAAGAGGAGCGGGATAGGGAGCTCGAAGAAGCTGCGCTGAAGGGTCGCAAGGAGATGACTATGGAAAGGGATGCCCTGGCTGCCCAGAAGAAAGTCGCTGAAGACTTGGTAGAGAAGCTGAAGGCCACTGCTACTCATGCTGAGGACAAGACCGATGAGATGAAGAAGTTGTCGACTCGGGCATAGCTGGTTTCCCGGATCACTCAGGCTAATGACGACCTTCTGGCCATCAGCGAGGAGGCTTTTCAAAATTTTATGGATCAATTGAAGCTGGTGAACCCTGGTGTCCAGCTAACTACCTAAGGTACATGGTTCTTCTATTTAGTTAAGGATGGCAAGAGAGTCGTCCCCGAGTTCCTCCTGTTCGACGAAGGCGGTGAAGGACACGGGCAGGTGACCCAAGAGGAGACCTAGTAAGCGAAGCAGTGAATCTTCCTCGATTGATATTCTGGCTTGCGTGCCTCTTGATTAATAGGTAATTTTATTTTGTGGGGCTTGGCCCCGTTTTATTGTAACATGCACACTTGCGGCCCTTTGTGGCCGCCTTATGTTAATATGTATTTGTATGCTTATTTATACTTTGCGTAATTTTTCTAAGTGTCCTGCACCGCCCAACACGGTCTAATGATGCACTTTAGCGATTGATTGTTATGTTTTGGGTATGCTCGACAAGTGATATTCAACAATGTGGAGAACTGGTTGAAAGGCCTGAGTTATTTCTTGGCAGGGGAGCGGAGCTCAGGCCACGATTATGGCATGAGTTCGCGGCGTGAACTTCCCGTCGCGAGCTGGGGGTTCTTTTGTTCATGGTACTTTGACGATGACGGGCTCGGTCGAGGAATCAGCTTCGAGCATAGATTAAGTCTCTCTTTGATAAATTTTGCTTAGACTCGTGTTGATGGCACAACGCTTGTACCTGAGCACGCACCCATGGTCGGTGACTGTGCCCGCCGCCTGGGCGAGACACATCGATAGTGATGGCCTTAGCTGTAATATTGTTTCAGCTTTTCGGCGTTCCATGGTCGAGCTAATTCTTTCCTGGTAAGTTATTCTAGGTAGTAGGCCCCGTTCTCCGTTTTTGCTCTAACGCGGTAGGTTCTTTCCCAGTTTGCGGCGAGCCTGCCTTCGCGGGAATCTTTGTGATAGGAACAATTGGTGAAGGAAAGAAGGACTGAAAAGAAAGTTTTGAAGTTTTCGTTTCGGCATATCGCGCTAAGCAAGCTTTTCAACGCGAGACCAACGCGCTCATGCAAATTCCAGTAGCTAAAGGATCAAAACACGCTAAGCGGGCTCCAGCCGCGCTTAACGTGCTTCCTGGATTCTAGCTATGTTCTTCTGATCGCGCATAGCACGCCTCTGAGTGCGCTTAGCGTGGTGCCGCTTACTGCACTAAGTGACATTGTCTATAAATATCTCTCTTAGAAGATATTTTCACCAACTTGTACTTTTTTCACACTTTTCAGCATTTGAGAGAGAGAAAGGATTTTCTAGGTCAAAAACCATAGAAATTCTTGGAGAAGTGAGAATAAAATCTTTGGAACATCGATCCTCGATTCTTCGACTTTGATGCTAGCAAAGCTTCTTTTCTTACTTATTGATCAAGCTACCATGGTGATGGGTAGCTAAACACTTTTATGTCAAGATTAGAGGTAGTTAAGCTTGCTTTTATGTATTTCTTTTGACCATTTGTTTGCGAACAAGGTTATAATCAATAGATGATGAAGATATTTGTTTTTAATTATGTATTTATGGTTTGAATCACTCTAGACATAGATTTTCCAAGTCTTGATCTAATTTCTTCATCTATTAACCAACAAACTTTAGACATAGATTTGGAAGTTAATATTCGTTTTGTATCGATCTTTATGTTTATTGTTTTAGTTGCTATTTAGAGAAATTATCTAACGATTAAAACAATAATATTCACGGACACGCTTTAGAAATGAATGGATTCGTGAGGATACATGATTGTATTGATTGAAACTAAGTTCGCATGCTTGATTAATCAGATACGTTTAAAAAAAGGATTAACGAAATCTAATATTGACATGTTTTTCTTTGAAATAAAACATTTTTGCCCTAATTTACTCTTTGCAACCGACTTATGTTACAAAACAAACGATCTTTTGAAAACTCTTACTTAGAACGTTAAACTATTGAACGGCTGGCATCGACATATCTCGCATACAATCTCTGTGGATACGATAAAACACCCCCAAAAAATACAACTCAACAAAATTGCGTCGTTGCGGGAGATTGTTAAGTGAGATATTGCAAGCATTGCAATAGTTTAGTGATTTTAAGATATTTGTATTGTGAATCTCTTATCTCTGTAATTCTCTTATGCTTTTTTATTTGTTTGGCTAGTGTGCAGAATCCGTTTATGCGAGGGAGAGTACCTGCAGAAGAACTTCTTTTTTATCCGGAGATTGAAAGAACTGCTCGTAGACTCAATAGAAGAACAAGGCGGAGATGACAACGTGCTAGGGAAGTACAAGAGTAAGGAGAATCTTCTTCATCCACACCATTTTTACGCTGATCATGGCAGCTCCACCACCACTACCACCTCCTGCTTCAGTACCACGCACCAACAGCCTGAGACATAATGCTCAGTTTGCACGCAACACCCAAAATGGGAGGCATTCTAAGATGAAGACCAGAATTCTTGCACTTTTATATCAAAACACTTTCATCGGTATGGATCATGAGGATCCTTTCACGCATCTCACAAAATTCTATGAAATTGCGAGTGCAACGGGAGCACAAGAAGATGAAGAAGACCGATCAGGGGTACCCTCCTCCGTCACAGTAAGATGACAAAGGAGAACGCGAGAGAGATGTTGGTGAAAGAGCTTGGGACTGATCCATTAAATGCGCTTGAGGAGGTGGATAAGACCACATGGCTCATTTGAGATTCTCCTTTCTGACGCATAAATTTAGTGAGGAGCTCGCTGCTGCATGGTATGCAGATGGTGATCCAGCTGAGGTTGAGATACACAGGCAACATGTGCTGAGGTGTTATTTTCTATTTTTAGTCGACACTCAGCTGTTTGTGGACACGAGCTCCACATATACCGATGTCGCTTACCTCAAATACATTTTGGATTCCACATGAATCCATGAGTACAACTAGGGGCGGCTACACTGGTGTACACGTATTCGAGGTTGGTTGAGGGATGCTTGTGGAAGACCAGGACTATGGCAGGCAGCGTGTCACTACTTGTGGTAACAATCTTATATTATTCGACTTTTTTTCATTTCTTTTCATTTTATATTCGTGATAATGATTGATCCTGATATTTTTTATTTTCATTTTAGGCTTGGATATTCCAGCGCTTTCCCATGATCGTCGGGTGGGGGAGTGCGCCTGATTACACAGAGCTGATGCCGCATGCCCGTGCCTTTCTCCCGCTCAGGGGGAACCAGGCGGTCGATCCTTACAGAGTCTATCTCGATCGCCTGGCCGCCGAGGACATCCGCTACGACGTCTATGCTGATCACCATGTGACGCGCCCATTTGATGACATCTCACTATTCTCAGGATGCTTGACATGCAGTTCGACCATCATTGTTCCATATTTGGCTGATTGCGTCATGCGAAAGTTCGGGTACACACATGGTACTGGACGAGGCTCGGGCGACCAGAGCGCCGAGAGACTAGAGCTGCGTTGATGGCTACATCATGTGGCTCTTCACCGTCTCACACCCCTACATGGTGTCCACTACAGAAGGATCATCGTCCATACCAGCTCATCAGGAGATTTTAGAGTAGCAGCAATCTCAGTTGGACCACACTCAGGATGTCCTGCCTCGTTGTCGTCAGATAGTGCAGATGGGGCGGACAGGCATTGAGGTCAGTTTCTTCCCTGAGGGGTCTGACCACAGGAGTATATTGGATGTGATGATTGCGGTGGCAGAGGGGACACTTATGTACCGCAGACATCGCGCCAGGACGGGTGGGATCGATGGCAGAGGACGCATACCGGACGGTCGAGGCAGAGGAGATGAAAATGTTGTTAGGTACACACAGTAGTGACTGTTGTGTTTTTATGTACTATATTTTAATGACATTGATGTACTATTTTTTTATGATGTTTACGACATATGACTTCTTATATATATATATATATATATATATATATATATATATATATATATATATATATATATATATATATATATATATATATATATATATATATATATATATATATATATATATATATATATATATATATATATATATCATATTATTTTATTTACGGTTGTATGTTATTTTATATTCATCTGCAACAGTTAATTTTCATATGCGACCAACAAAACTGAATTTTTTATAAAATAAATCTGTTAGGATAAGATTTCAGAGATGCATCTACGAAACTTTTTTCGTAGATGTGTCTCCGGAAGCATTTAGCATAAAAGAAAAAAATATGCGTTCAGAGATACAACTTCGAAAGTAAGGGACATAAAAGGAAATACACTGGGTAGTTAAGAGTATCAAAGAGTGGATTAAAAAACTCTCATTGTCTAATATCCTTTAGGCGTACAAAGTCAGTCCTAGCAAGAAGAATGCAACTCTTCTAAGATAGTGGTAATGAGCTTGGGCAGTGGAGGCACAACTGCTGGATTTTTCCATGGTAAAACATTACTTTCAACCTGATACAACGGGTCAAAACTGCTGCCTTGGGTACATTGTTGTTTGATAGCAGATAATTATGGACTTGGCATTAACGACAGAGGTAATGAGTGGGTAGAGAGTTTTGAGGTCCTGAAGCTGCCATAAAAAAAGACCTAAACAAGGCATCAACAGCCATATTGTCATTTAGGCAGATTTTTGTTGCTACTGAGTTTCAATGATAGAGTTTGATTACTATTTTGAGCATTCATGTCGATGATAAAACTATGCAACTCAAACACTTTAGTTCATTGAAGAGCTTGAGGAAGTTCAATAACCTCACCTTTCTTCTAGCAAGAAGAAATCACCCATTTATTTCCTAAAACACGCTGTTGTAGTAGGTATCGAAAGAGAAAAACATACATCAATATTTAATTTTAAGAAACATGTGGAGGCCTCACCCACACCTTATATCAAACATGCAAATAGAATCAGTTTTAATAGTCAGATTTTTACAAACAGGATCAGCAATCGCACATAAATAAATATCATGCAAAAGGGGTTCAATAAACTATCTCCCAAGTCCCCCCTATGAACTTCAAAACCCTAATCACTTATTGACAACAATATTTACTTGTAGTAAATAATTCTCCAGTAGGACCTACTGCCTCAGTAATACAGCCAAAAATGCCAAAGAATCTAAAGACTTCGAATTTTCCCAGGCCTGAATGCTTCAGCAATATTGCCAACAACCAAATGAATGTCTCTACGTAATTCTCTTATAGCAAGAAAGTTGACACCACAACTCAAGCATTAACAACAAACACCTCTATCACTTCACGATTGGTACATCAAACCTCTCGATGTTTACTCCAAATTTGTGGATTTATGACCTATAAGTAGAATGTTGATAACAATAAGCAGCCACGAAACTGACACACAGTGCAATCAACCTGTAACTGCAAGATCCATATTTGGCAGCTGGGATTCAAGATTGTCAGAGTCTGTGACTAAAGGATTTTTCTGGAAATTGTTACGTAGCTGACCACAAGCTGCATTTGCGTCCAGTCCTCTGGTTTGGCGTACACTAGTGGTTATTTTAGATGACTCCAAAGCATTAACAAATGCTTGCACCTATGAAATGAGAAGTTTCAATTCAATACTCAATTTACTTGAATAAACCAAACGATGAAGTAAATCGTGTTTAGAATGAAACTGAAACATAAGGAAACTATCATACTGCTTTCCTGTAAGGACGGCGAAACTCAGAGCCTTCTATTGGATTAAAAGGTATCAGGTTGACATGATAACCACTGCCATATTCGTGTAGTAGTTTAGCAAGTTCTACTGCATTGTCTACCGAGTCATTGATTCCAGCTGTTCAAACATAATGCCGGGAAAGTAGCAAGTACATATAAGAATTTTACTAATATTATAGTACGGGGAGGAGCAAGAATGTATTGGAAATTTTGTGTACCTAAAAGTGCATATTCAAAAGAAACACGTCTATTTGTTTCCTGGAAGTATTCCTTGCAGTCTTTCATAAGTGCATCCAATGGGTAGGACTTTGCACTTGGAACAATTGTCTCCCTTAGTTTCTGGTTAGGAGCATGTAGGCTGATACAAGTTACGAAAGAAAATTATAGACATATTATTAAGAAAGAATCCACCGAATGATATATATAGCAGCAACAAACCCAGACCAAACACCAAAGTATCAAAAAGTAAACAAAGAAAGACATAAGATAAAAAGTATATTGACAATTCACTATGAGATTGTAATCCTTGACCAACGAAATCAAAATCAAGGACGATTACCTCACAGCTAACGTGGATTGAAGTTTGTGAGAAGCTAGCTTCTTTATTGTATTTGGAACCCCCACAGTGGAGATAGTCATCATTCTTTGCCCAATTTGTATATCCTACAAGTCCATCCAAAATCCAACATTAGCACTCTTACATGCAAAATTTACCAAAATCCAACATTAGCACTCTTACATTCAAAATTTATTATATGCTCTCTATCATAATAAAATGAAATAAGACCAAGCAAAGCATTATGATGATAAAACGATTTTCTTTTGACAGAGCGAGCATATATATGAATACATCTTTTATGCATGTGACACAGTCTGTTCTGTTCTCTTTGGTTTCATCTTATCCTGTGGAACTAAAATGTATCACTTTTTTACCTTATATCCTAATCTGTTTTACTTTGAACATGTACCAAACATAAAACATAACTTGCATGTTCTGTTCTGTTTTAATTTCTAAAGAATTTCTGAAAAATCCCAACAAAAAAAAAAACATGTCCCTCCCATGCACGAAATCATGAAAATATAAAATTACTTAAAACAATTGATCAAAGTAGAAAGAGAATCTAACAATTATTAAGATGCATCAAATAATGTAATGACCAGTCAGTCCCAGAGTTTAAATGATAATGTTTACCAAGTTAAGAGCATAGATGGAGTCTTAAACTCTCAACATCAAAGAGTACTGTTACAATTACATGTAAGCATCTAATAAGGAAATAATTACACATATCATATGCATTCATTCACCTTATTCAAGCAATGGTGTGCTTCAAGTACTGCTTTCAGGTTTAACATTGGTTCACCCATTCCCATAAAGACTACATTTGACACCCTGCGCTTGAAAACCTCCTCAATGGCTAAGACCTGTTTACATAAGATGCGGGTGTTATCTTGTTTTGCAGTGAAAACAATCGAGCTTGCATAAGAAGGTTTGCAATCCAAAAAATTGTGACATTGCTTATTTGATCATTTTCATTTCCTTTCTGACATTTTTATTTCTTTTAAATTAATCAAAATTTCCCTAGTGCGAAATCTAACATCAAACTGCTTTCAATGTATGTATGGACTCGAACTGGGTATGACACAAACCTGCTCTACAATTTCATGGCTCCGAAGATTCCTTGAAAAGCCCCCTTTTCCAGTTGCACAAAAAGAGCATCGTAGAGGGCAACCTACCTAAATATTGAAATAACAGACGGCCATGACAAAGAAAATGGAAAACATCAGTACACATTATCACATAAAACAAAAATCAGTTTCCTGATCAACTATGCAAACATTACAGCAAAGAAGAACAAAAAAAACTCTTTGTTTGATGATTCAGGACAAGTAAGTCAAACACCTGTGATGAAACACACGCTGTCAAGCGAACTGAACCCTTATCATCTTCAACCGGAATACCAACAGTTTCAATCAATCTGTTGTCCTCCAACTTTAACAGCAGCTGCAAAGTCAAATTCCAACAAAAAAAAGCAAGAAATAAAGGAAACATCAATGACTGCATCATTTAACAAGCAAGTTAAATATCCTACCCTACTAATACCAAGTAAAAACAACTTGAATCATTGCCAAAAAAAAATCAGACCATGGTCCATGAAATCAAATCATTTATGTGTAGTAGACATCTCAACATATATAGTTGTCACTGGACTAAAACAGCAATAAACCATTTAAAAAAATAAAAGCAACTACACACAACAATAAATCAGGTAAATGCTAACCAGGGTCACACATGTTAAAAAAATAAAAAGTTTTTCTTATTGAGAGAATAGCTATAGAAATAAATAATGTCTACAACAACAACTAAGCCTTATCCCACTAAGTGAGGTCAACTACATGGATCAACTTTCGACATAATGTTTTATTCCGGACCATGCTGTTTGACTTCTCTCCATCTGATCTATTCTTCTTACCATAAAATCTACAGATCTTCTCTCTACATGCCCAAACCACCTAAGTCTATTTTCCACCCTCTTCTCTACTACGGGTGATAAATACCCCAACACTCGCTCTAACTTCCCATAAAAATTTACAATTTCTTGACTTCATAACCTGGGTAGAAGCAGTTAGCAGGAACCATAAATTAAAAACAACACCAATAGGGTTGCTGAACCACGATTATAGTATGTTTTACTACCTTAATAGTCCCATCAGTTGCAACAACCTTGTTGAAAATAGGAGACCTTCCCACCTTCCATCCAGCTTCCTCAAGCTCATTCCTAAATGCCAAAGGCACTGCAATGCAAGCAAAACCACAACAGCACCACATTGAAAAGTTAATACATTCATCGTCAAACACACAACACTACACTGACACAAACGACAACGACAGTATCGACACCGGTAGTAATTTAACAAAATGGAAACTATTGAATGTAATCACATTCACATGGACCAAATTAAAGAAAAAACAGAAAATAAGGGTAAAAAAATAGAGTCTCACCCTGAACGAATTCCTGAATATCTCTAACTTTTCTTTTGTATATAAGATGATAGAGTTGCTTCCCCCTAAAACCTTGCTATGAAAAATTCAACAAATAATTCAAAACCAGTTGAATTGAATTGAATAATGCGACAATGAATAGAAATGGAAAAGGAGAAGAAATTTACCTGACCAAAATCAATGGCGAGTTTTTGAAGGTCGCTCTCGGATAAGCCAAGGAGAACCTGAGACGGAGGAATTGGACTAGGGGAAGAAGAAGTTGCGAAGGAGATGGCGGCACGTGTGCGAGGGGAAGGGCGCACGACCACACGTGCGAGGGGTATGGAACAGTGGTGAAGCATCGCCATCATTATATCTCTTACAGAAAGGAGATAACGAAGAGAAGTTAGGAACCAAACCCCTTAAACCCTTTAGGCAGGTACTACTCCCTCAATTTCATATTATAATTTTTTTTATATTTATTAAATAATTAATCTATCTGATTTATTTATATGTAGATTAGAATATTAATTATTTATTAATTTAAAAAATAAAAAAATTTTAATTTTAATTTTAATTTTAATTTTGTTTTTAATAATAATTAAAATTGGATAGTGTTAATATGTTTAAATATGAAATTGACAATTGTTATGATGTGTCTTAGTGGTAATGTGTGTACTATACAACTCAAGGTCACAAGTTTGATATTTGTAGGTCATAAGTTTGATATTTGTATGTGACAATTATTTTCATTTATTTTAATTTCTTTAACACACTAAAAGCGGTGGTTAAATTGGTCACTAATTCGGTCACTGAATATGTTGCTAAAGGTTAGCGACTAACATTTTTCAACTGAAAAATTATAGTCGCTTTATTGGTCATTAAACATTATAGTGATCGATTATTAAGCTTTTTCGGTCTCTAATTCGATCACTAAACGTGGAGTTTTTAGTAGTGAAGACAAATTCCTAAAAGTTAGAGGGTATAAAAGGAACCTCTTTGATGAAATGAAGAGAGGTTCAGAAGTTGAAAACTTGAGAAATTACTTTGAAAAATATCTTACTGAAGAAGAAGAAGAAGTTTGAACCAGTAGTGAAAAGTTCCTTTCATTCTCCCTTAATTGAAGAAGTGATGACCATCCTAACGTGACATAACTTGCCTCTTTTTGACTGAAAGATTGCAAGGAGAAGAGTGTCATACTTAGATTTTCATTTTCTTTTCATCTGTGTTAAAAAATGTTGAAGGTAAGAACTTGTGTTATTGTATTTCTTTTGCTGATCATGAGCTAAACCTCTTTATATTGAGCAATGTGAAGTTTAATAAAATGACTATTTTGTATTAACATGATGTGGTTTGAAATGATGCATTTTACTATGTGAAATGATGTTATATATTTTTTTATTTACTTGATCACCTTAAAAATATGTAAAATTTAGTTAAGGGTTGTAAGATCTATTAACTAACGGACTTCATAAGTAAATACAATTAAAAATAGTAGGATAGACTTTTTCACTATATTAGTCACTTTAGAGATAAAGGACTACAACCATAGGGAGAAATCAGAAGATGTAAATAGACATTCTTTAATGATATTTTAAGACCACGAGAGTTGTTCCATTAACTTAATACATATTTCTCGACGTTGTAGACACACACCACCAAATCACCTTCTATCTCATCTATTATGAAAAATCTCATTAGACACACAATATGAACTTTATTAGATGAATCATTGTCTGACATGCCTTTTACTATTGATTTAACCTATTCATCTTCCCTTATCATTTATTGTATTTCAATTTGAATCTGTGGCAACCCAATATTATTGTTACCTTTCTACTCATGGCTATTCCCAAGATTTTAATGTGAGAATCAATTTAAATTATTACAATCTTTGTGCGATCGATAATTTTACTTTTATATCACTTGATACTATTTGACTATGTATACTTGCAAATATCAATAGTTCGCACAACAATAACACTGCACAACATATTAAATATGCATACTTTTGTCGTGTGGTACCCGCATAACTTAAAGAGATATCCATATTTCCTTATCCCGATGTCATCATATTTCAACTTCTGGATATATTCTCTATACAAACTACTTCTTTCACATCTTATCATAGTAAATGACGATCTTCTATCTGAATAAGAATCATACCACCAAAATATTATCCCAAAACTTAATTTATCAATATCTGCATGAATCCTTTTAAGCATATGGTCACGTAAAATAGAATCTTGCTCAAATAATCATCCTCTGATGTACTAGTTGGGTTGAAAACATCAGGGTGCATCATATCTATAACCATTTAAAAAAACATAATTTAAGCAATTATTTCAAATGTCCAAAAGTTAACATCCAAAAAAAGATTAAAGGCTTTTAGGAGGATATCCTCGAGACAACTTACTCAATGCATAAAAAAATAGATTATGAATCAACGAGTAGAGATATAGATGTACATTAGTTGTAATTTATGACAATTATAATGTTTATGATGTCAAAATACCATTTAATTGTGTTACCAAATGCAATAATTGAATAAGAATGAAATAACTTTTCAGAGGCTTTAGGGAAATATAAAATAGGGTCATGCGTGAAATGGTTTGAGAAATTGATTGTGTAAAAAACATTGCGATCGACGTCGTGATGGCACACAGTTGAAGATACTCTCAGAGTGCATCATCTTCGTGATGAGTAATAAAGTCAGCTAAATAACTTTTGTAAATCTTTTCCAGCCATCAAAATCAAGCATGACATCCTCAGGTATGTGTAATCTCGATTTAATTCTTATCATAATTAGCTCCTAAGTGATGAACCATCAAGTCTAATGTTTTAAATTATTTGAGTCGTTGGGTGATGTAGTAGTCAGATTCTGATAAGTAGATGGAGAAGACATGATATATCTTATAAGGTTTAGCTCACTAATGAGTAGATGATGTCTCAAAATATCATCTATTAACAAACATTGACAACAATCCATGGTATATAAAGGTGTAACAAGTCCTCACAACATCTTTCAGCCCATATGCCACTAATATATCTTGGACCATGCCTCATCTTCTTGCATTAATGTTAACTATGCCACTAATATATCTTGGACCATGCCTCATCTTCTTGCATTAATGTTAACATCTTCTGGGCCGTGATTGACACATTTCAACGTCTCATGGTACTAAAAAACAATGTGCACATAATTAATATGTATTTTTGTTGTAATTAAAATATTGATAAATAATAATTAAATTAAATAATCACCACTACAAATAATACATTTTATAACAACGATTTCACCTCATGTATCAAAAAATCAAGGTACAATTCTTGAACACACCCTGTTTTTTTTTTAAATATACAATATATTTCGTCAATTATTTTGAAAACCGAGGGGTAAACTTATTCAGTGTACATGCTTCAAATCTCAACAACCTCAATTTATGTTTTTATCTCACTAAATGTGGTGCTTTCTTGAATATTTTATTTTTAATCTAAAAATACATCACTTTTCACTTCGGTTTTCTTTCCAACCGAGGTGAATATGTTTCTCTGATATGTATATAACTTTAACTTGTAGCATTAAGTTTCACTTATCTAAACAACACAAACAAAATCTTACGAAGAACCCTAAACAATCAGAGCCATAAACACATATCATCTTCAATACGAAGATGTTATGTGTTTAATGCTCTTGTTTATTATTCAGAGATCCAAATCATTTTCTTTTACCTCTTCTTCAGAAATTTGGTACGTCAAACATCACTGCTCATATTGTTGTCATATTGTTGTTGTTGTTGTGTTGTTGAAATCCGAAACCTTAGAGGTTTTCTTGTTGTTTTTGTTTTTGTTATTAATATTGTTTTTGTCGAGACCCTATACCCTAGAGTTTGTTTATTGACGTTATTGTTGATTGTTTTTTGTTGTTGTTATATAATATAAGTTGTTGTTTTCTATTTGAGTTATATATGTTGTATTTTAGTTGTTGTTATTGTGTTTGAGTTTAAGATTGATATTGATATTTGAATTATGTTTTTTGTGATTCTTTGTGCAACTCTCATCTTTCGTTGATTAATGATTTTCTAGCATTTTGTAACTCATCATTTATCTCATGTTGTTTTATTATTAAAATCTTTCAAATACTTCTAGTTTTCATTCAACTTTCTTCCATATTTGTTCATTTTTCAAAACATCAAATTTTATGCTTTTAAGAACAACTTAGTAGAAAAAGAAGTGTTGAATAAAGAACTTAAAATATTGAATATATTTTAACCATAAAATAACGTGAGATAAATGATGAGTTGTTGGATGCTTCAAAATCACTAATTAATGTAAGTTATTTTTCAAATATAACACAATTGTTCATATAACTATTTCCCTAACCAATTTTGAAAAGTTATATGTTTAGTGAAATAAAGCAAAGCACGTTAGATTTAATAAACTCAAAATTGTTTTACCTATCGGTTTTATGAGACAACCGAGGTGAAAATGTGATATATTCGTTGATGAAATGTCAAAACTGAGAGAACGTGTGTTTTCGTCATTTCATAATTACTAAAAAGTCTCTCTGAAGATCGAATTCATGATCTTTATACATACTCGTCAATTTTTTAAATCCTAGAGATAAAGTGTACACTCTTCATTACGCCCTTCGTTATATTTCGCTTGTGAAACCAAAGCATATGCAAAGAGCAACATGGTTCGAATAGAGCATAAGCCTGATAAGTTTGATAGCCTCCCATGATATCCTTCTGACGTGGGAGCCATAGCATGTGCATGTTGGGAAAGTCTAATGTGCCTTCATCATTTGTTCATCCGTGTTGCTATTCGATTTGAATGAAAATAAGAATTCAGAAGTTTTTGAAAATAAGAAATGAAAATTTCAATAAAAGAACTGAATCAAAAATCTGTACAACAATCACAGATATCTCAAGACACATACTCAAGTTCACCACAATCTACAAATATGCAACTCAAAACCAGAAGCATATAGTTAACTTCATCATTCATTTTTCATTGAGTATTGTTTCACTTTGTTTATTACTTCTATGTTGTCTAGGACCATTGCTCCTTGAGCTATGACTACTCCTTTTAACATTTTGATGATCTCGAGAGGTTCCCGCTTCTCCGGCCGGAACTTCAGAGGAACCCTGAAGTTCCTCTAATGCTATAACAACCTCGTCCATTTTCGGTCTGAATCTTGGTTCAACAGACAGGCATTGGATCGCGAGGTTAGCTACTTTCATTGCTTGACGCACCGTGTATTGCCCTTCAATGCGAGCGTCCATGACTTGGAAGATCCGCCGTTTGCTGTTGAGATAAGGTTTGGCCCATTCGATTAAATTGTGTTCTCCGGATGGTCTGTTGTTGTCGAGTGCGCGTTTGCCTGACATGATTTCAAGGAGTACAACGCCGAAGCTGTACACATCACTCTTTTTGGTCAAATGTCCTACACAAAAAGACATGAAAACATGTCAAAAGTGACAAGTGATAGTCATTGAGCCCGTTTGAATTTGTGGCGATATTGACAGAATCACGGTGTAAGTACTTCGTAAAGTTTTGTACCTGTGGCCATATATTCAGGCGCGGCATAGCCATATGTGCCCATTACCCTTGTAGAGACATGGCTATTATCACCTGCGGGACCGTCCTTTGCCAAGCCGAAATCGGAAAGTTTTGCATTATAAGACTGTCATCAACCAAACAGAATGTAAGAATAGCCCATTTCGACAAATGAGTTTTAAGAGCAATGAGATTTACTTACCGAGTCGAGCAATATATTTGCAGTTTTAAAGTCTCGATATATCACTTTTGCTTCGTCGCTGTGAAGATATGCAAGACCCTTAGCAGCGTCAAGAGCAACCTTCATTCGGATTGTCCAAGAAAGCGGTTGAAAGTAAGAAGCTCCTGTTCCAAAAAGAGTAGATAAGTTAGTTTTAAGCATTCAATAGTGTCAAGCATGAGACAAACTTGAAGGAAAATCAATAACTTACTCCTAAATAAATGATTATCCAAACTGCCCTTAGTCAAAAACTCGTAAACCAAAAGCCGATGTTCGTCCTCCAAGCAGTAACCAATAAGTTTCACAAGATTAGGATGATGCAGCTGGCCCAGGTAATTGATTTCTGTCTATAGAACAAGAACAAATAGTTACATCTAAAGAAGAACTCGTCTAAAACATTCAGGTCAGATACATTGAATAACTAATGTATCTGACAATATATAGACCAGACCAGATACATCGAATTATCTGACAGTATAATTCAATGAAATGAATTTAAAAAGTAAATTTTTTCTTATAAATAAGACCAGAGCGGGTATGAATATTTCAAAATGAGGAATTCCGAAAAACATCTGAAGAAACTAATTTGACATATTTCTAAACTTCAAAATAGAAGACACTCACCAACCATTCACTATGTCCTTGCAAACCTTCTTGGTTAAGCCTCTTGACAGCAATGACCACTCCAGTCCCCGGTCTAACCGGTGCAAGCGAGTGCTCATCAATCCACCCCTTGAATACAGCTCCAAATCCACCTTCCCCAACCACACTATCAGGACGAAAGTTTCTCGTAGCAGTTTTCAGCTCACTAAAAGTGAAGCTCTTCATATTAGAAGACTTCAATATCTCGCCCTGAGTCCGAGGAGTCGGAGGCGCAGTAGGCGGAGCAGAGGCCTTGCCGCTGCTCCGCCCACTCAAGCCATTTTCTTTGCCACCATCCTTCGAATTCGAACCTGCATATCTCAAAAGAAAAACAGATTCACTTTTCATGCAAATTTCCAAAACAAACAACTTCTACAATCTTGTAACCAAAATCATCATCAACAAAAACCACAAACCCTTGTTATCTCTTCCTCAAAAACCACATAACTCATAATCAATCAAAGCAACTCCTCTTTCACAGTAACAATCAACCTTCAAATCAAGCATCCATTTTCATAACCTCAACTCAAATCACAAACAACAAAAACTTGGTTTCATTCAAAACCCAATTAAAGTAATCAAAAACAAAAAGTTGATCAAGATCAAAAGTTTCAAGCAAAAGGGCCGTGAGAAAAGAACAAAAAGATCCATTTTTTAGCATAAAAAGTATACATGCAACAAAGATATCATACATACCATTGCGTGGAGGGCTTTCAGCTTTGATTCTGGCACTAAAGCAACAGCCCATGAAGACAGATTTAGCTGAAGAACAAAGAAGCAAGAACAGCTAAAGAGAGAAAAGGAACAAAACAAGTTGAAGTTGCAAAAGTTGAAGAGTTTAATGAAGTTTAAGCAAAGGGATTAAAAAATAAAGACACATATGAAAGTGTGAAAGCAATTGTAAATTCCACATGAATTGTTAGCTGTCAAGTTATGACTCAAAACCGCCAATATTCAATGCACGTATGTCTTCCAGTTACAAAGACTAGTTGTTTTGAAAACTCATGAATAAAAGTCACAAAAATACTTCACTAATTATATAAAATATACAACTCTTTTAAAAGCAAAAGTTTGTTTACTTTTAATAGTAAACAAATATTCCATGCACAAATACGTAAATTATTGCTAAATTAGATGTTATTATCAGGGTTCGAATTCTAAGTCTCACAATCAAAATTTAAATTTTAAGACTCGCGATTGTATTTGTGAATTTAAAATTCAAATTCTAAGACTCGCGATTGTGGTTGTGAATTTTTAATAATTATTACGATTTTGTCAATATATATTCATAAAAAAAAAAAGTTAAGAGATGTTAATATATACTAAATGTGTCCCATTATGTTTTTTTGGTTCTAGAGAGTGTGTGTGAATGTGAATGCATGAGAGAAAGTTATTGGTTATTGACTTTTGACTTTTTGGAGAGAAGGACAAAACCATAACGGGGTTGACCTGACACAGCAATGGATTGTGGTTAGATTATGTGCAAGTGGGAACTACTATGATGATGTTCAAATGCTTCCAACTTCCAACCCTTTTCTTTATTTGTTGCTTTTTGTAGGGGTATGGTAGGGTCTTTCCTTTCAGCCTTATCTTTTTCTTATTATTATCCTACTATTCTATTCTAGTGGCTTTATTTTATATTTAGTTGATATATTTGTAAAATACTAAATTGGCATCATATCAATGTTAAGTAGCTCGAATCTAGTAAAAATATGGTCATTAGTTTAATTCATTTATTATTTAGAAAATTCGTTTTTAAATGTAACTTAGAATTTTGGAGAGATTAGTCTTTATTGTTCTTTAATAATAAAAATACTTTAGTTAATAAAAAAAATATTATAACAACAATAAATATAAAAGATTAAAGAGAAATGAAAAATAATAAATAATAAATTATATTGATCTTTGTTAATATAATTTAACTACTGATATTTATTTATTTTTAGAGGTGGTAAAACGGATCCAACCTGTTGGACATCGCACTTTAGCGCGGAGCAGACTAAAAGTTTAAGCTTGCTACATCTAATGTGTTTGTTATGCCCCACTCTATTTTTTTGCGGATTTTTGCAGACATGAACATTTACAAGAATTTTTGTATTCGTCGACTTAAAAGGTGCAGTGTCCTTGGCCCCACCCCACCATAACTTTTAGTGTATGACAAGTCAAGGTTTTAGGTCTACATCTTCGAGTATGTCAGTCTGCCCTATCCTATTTTTTTGTGGACTTTTGCGAGCTGGGGACGAACATGTCGGCTTGTCACCCCTAATTATGCTTGCGACTATAGAGCAAGTGTTGTTTACTTTATTTTTATCTAATGAATTTGAGTTATAATTTTACGAGCAATATATAATAATAAGGCTCGTTTCAAAATAATACCCTAAATACCCCACACCCCTAGTTACCTACCAATAATAATCTCTACAATATGAGTTGTACACAACAATACTTATAATAATCTTCACAATATGATGTTAAGAGAGAATATGGACTCACTTGGTCTAAAAGGGGGAAGAGGGTTGAATAAATTGTTTCTAAAAATACAAATTTTAAAAAATTTCTTTTTTAAATAGTAGTTTGATAAAAATCTCACGACGTAGCAGATTTTTCGTATAAAATATATGTTAATGGAGGGATATTAGTATACACTTAAACCAAAAATAAAATAAACAAAAAATGAAGAGACTAAAGTAATGAACCCTTTAATTGACTAAATTTGGGTTACACAAGATGCCTAAATCGAAATGATATTCTTGTATGAATGTCAATTTCTTTATTCCTCCCCCTTTTACTAATAACATAACACATGAACATATTCTTTTATGGAAATACTTTTTTTCTTAGATTGCCTTGAGCTTGACACTCCATATCCATCTAGAATTTCCAATGGCAATCAATCTTCACAACATACTTCTAATCAGAAACAACCATTGGGTGAAGCGAGTAAAGTTAGGACTTTAGGCCCCCTAAATATATATTTTTATCAAAGTAACTAATGTAAATTAATTAAATGTAAATTGATTATTAAGGCCTAGAAAAAAATGGAGTATTTCGTTTTTTTTTTCATTTTTGAATAGTTGAATCTTGACTATTCTTCTTTCCAATGTTCCTATAACAAATTAGTAACAGTCTCCTATCATTAAATCCATCAATTGCTTTAAAATGAAAAGATTGTTGACCGCCATGCGTCGTCGATCTGAAAGCTGCTCATCGGAGGTAGGGAGGAGGAGGAGGTGTACCTGAAACACACTCTGATGCCAAAGTAAGGGTCGAGCAGAGTGATAACAAGTACATAAATAAAGGAGTAAGAATCAGAGTACCTGACCCTTTAGTGGAATAGGGTATTTATAATAAGCACCCAACACAGGGCCAGCGGTTACTATGCATTGGGTTGTGCTGCCAAGCCCAACACTGGTTAACTGTTAGGGCTGACGTGGCGTCGTGAAGACCAACATGTGGTCTTCGCCCTAGTGTAACTGTTTTGTGCTATTCGGAAGGTGGAAGGCCGAATAATCAGGGCATAGATAGTTATATGATAATGTGTCTCCGTGTATGGGACACATTGAGAACGTGAGGGAGGTCAGAGGAGCTTCTCGAGCTGGATGGGTTCTGCCCGACAGTGGGGCAGAAGAGGGACGAGTCAGGCAGATATGAGGATCTTGCTCGATTGTCATTGGTTCATGCCCGACGGGAGAAGAGGTTATGTCCGACAGGTCTTTTCCCGACGATGAGGTCTTATTGGACCTTCCAACTTGGTGGGGTTTGGGCCTGCTCGACTATGGGCCAAACGTCGGTCCAGTCCAGAACAATTTTCAATTGAACTTTTTTCAAAAGCAAAAAACTTTATTGCAATTGCAGCAACTTTGTAGATTTATATTTGTGAATTACCGATTTTATAAACTCTGAATTTGTGTTTGTGATATTGTAGCACCGTTGCATTACATCAGAGTCACTTCTACATAGACATAGACGATTTATTCTCCACCTCCAATCCCTGATTTGTTTTATTGTTTGGATTGACGACAAACAATTTGTTCTTTCTTTTATTCTCTTTTATCGGCAAACAGGTTCTTTTATTCTCTTGTTGGATCTAATTTTTTTTGTTACTATTTGCTTATTCTATATTTTTTGGTTATTGTTTGACTGATTGATTATTGTCTTGTTTGTATCTATTTATTTTTTCACAACTAAATCTTAGGTTCGGGAGTCGGTTACGCAAGGGGAAGATATGAGCACCTCTCACGTCCGTTGTACTCAACGGGATCCATGCTTGTTGTCTAATCAAAGAGTGAAATTTATCTAAAAGCTAATGTTAAACTGGGGAAAAAAGAAAAGAAGAGACTCATTAGGACATCGCTGCCCTATGCCTACGTATTCTCTCGTGCAATGGGAAAATCAGAGTCAACGTACGGGTGATGGGGGGAGGTTGCTCGCCAAGACATCATCGTTTTGTGATTGCATATCCTCTTCTGATATGAGAAATCAGAGCAAACACAGTTCAGGTAAACTAGACCACCGATTGGTTAAGTGTTTTTTGTGAGTGATGTTAAGTTTCCATTCCAACAGTTAGGGACGATTCTTGTTTGCGGTAGAACGGAAAAGTAACATACTCTTTTCTGAAAATGAGTTTTGAAAGACAATCTCGAAGGATAAAAAGATTTGAATTTAGTTTGTGAGTTTTAGTGAAGTGGATTGGGTTAGTTTGAGACTCACGTCGCACAAAAGACTATGACACGAGAGCGAATGCGTCGCATATTGCCCAAAGGGCATACGCTAAACACTCTAGGCAAGCGAGGAGAAACCCACAACTCATCATTCCCCATGTATTTAAGGCTCCTAGCATACGATGTTTATCGTTCTTTATCAAGTGTCTTGAAGAAATTTGAGACGAGAAAAGAGAGACGCACACAAAGGTCTAGGGGAATATAGAGGTAAACGAAAAGTAAACACGAAGCAACGCAATCATAGACAACGTCAAGTATCGAAACTAAAATTAGAATTTATGGAAAAGTATATACAAGTATATTTACAAACGCACTCGAGAATTAAAAAAATGAAACAAAATTGAAAGAGTTAATTAAATCAAAATTGAAACCAAATGTCTAATTCTATGTTAACTAACTTCTAATGAAAGTTAATCCTAAGTTAATTATCTAATTAGCATTAATCCTAATCTAAGTAAAATCTAATAAAACCTAATTAAATAATTAAATAAAATCCAATCTAATTCTAAATTAAAGTTAAAATCTAAAAATAAAACTAAAATCTAATTCTAAAATAATTAATTAAAGTCTAAATTATCTCTATATTAAAATAAGATCTAACTCTAATATAAATTAAAACAAAACTAATTAAAGTCTTTATAAAACCTAATTAGCAAAACTAACAAAAACTAATCTCTAAAAATTAAACTTAATTCTAATGTTAATTAAAACAAAACAAAAGGGTGCAGGGGGAAGAGGGGAGGCACATGGGCCTAACCTCAAGCTCAATGGCCTATTGGAAACAAAACAAAAGGGGGGAGGGGGTGGATGAGAAAAAAAATCGGTGACAAAATGGGAATTGATTGAGGCCCAAAATACCTAAGTTCATTTCCCCAATTCCAAACTTCGTCTTCCTTGTCCAACATCATTCGCCGGCGGCTCGCGCTCTCCTTGTCGGCCACCTTCTCAAAGCCCTCTGTCTCGCCCTTAAACTCCTCTGTTTGCATTCCCGCTCACCTCTTTCCTCAACCTCATAAGTTTCGCTTCA